AGCAGAAGATAAAAACAGATGAAATTCATTTTTACCTAGTAATAATCAGAATTTTATAAAAAAAATTATTCAACTGTGTTTTACAACACGCGTGAATTTCAATGGAATTGAAGAAGTAGTAAGAATATATACTTAATTTTGATATATATACAGGTTATATGCGATAAAATGTAACAAATTATTTTTTGCAGATTTTCCAGTCCTCTATCATTAATACTTTTCTGTGAAGAGTAAAACCTTCACATAAAAACAAAAAATCTCTTTTTGGTTTTTTTGATAGTCAAAAATGCTTATTTACTTTATATTTAAATGGAATATATTGGAAATATTTCTAATATAAATATCAATTAAACATATCTGGCAAAAATGTTGATTTTTAGGGGGCTATATATACAGGTTTGAATTTAATTTCTTTTAAATTAATTATTTAATAAATCAACTAATTTAGATATTTGGAGTTAAAAATAAAATGTGAGAATCTTGTCAAATTTTAATAAATCTTGCATGTTGGGACTAAATTTTAGAAATCTTCTAGAGAACTCTGAAGATATGTTATGTAGCATTGTAAAATACTTAATGGAATCAATGGATAGAAGCTGGAAAAGAGATGAGAGTACAATTTTTCATGGTTTCCACAAAAGAACTGCTTAATATGGGTTTAATATATTATCAATTGTGTATTTTTGTAAAATTTTTCACTCTCTCCGAAATGATATAAAATTAAATATAAATATGACATGTCTTCTATGAAACAGTTGGGGACCTGCGAGTTTTCTTGTATATTGAGATTACTCGGTATGAGTTTATTAAAGGCGTGACACCGGGTATATTCGGAAATAACTTCCCGTGTAGCGAGTTTCGCGCTGTGTACCGCATCTGACACGCGCTTCCTGAAACCAGTACACAGGAACAGCGCTACACGTGCCGTCACGCATTTCTGGCCATTAACCTTTTTAATTATTTAGGAAAAATTTTCATAGAAAATATTTACAAAAAATAACAATAACATTGGCTCTTGTTTCAATTTTTTTGAAAAAAAAAATCTGACAAAAATTATGTAGTTTATCAACGTATTGTTAATTAGTATATGGGTTTTTTTTTTTAAATTATAGGTTTATTTCTCAAAAGAAAGCAAGTTAAATGATGGAGAAATTAAAACGAATCCTCACTGCTCTGAATTTTCTTTGTTCATTACAACAAGGAGAGTCGAGAAATAATGCAGACAAAATTAAATAAGGATATTTTATTAGTGTTTGGTAATTATTCAGTAAAATCAAACAAACAAATAATGTAATGACCATTAAAGATGACACGTCTGTCGTGAAAATTTTCGCTTTGCCTTGAGCATATGTCGCGGAATGGTTGTTCCGTTGTGGACTTCGGTTTTCTCGAGGGACAAATTGCGTCAGGAAAGAGATTGCCACGGACGATGGATTCCCATCTATGGAGCAATAAACTTTGACATTCACATGCCAAAACGTAATGAGGCTCATCAGGAGGACGATTAAAAAGTGGTCACTTGTCCTCGAGTTCATCAAATTTTAACCAATCAAAAACTGACACGGCTGCGATCGCCATAAATTTTTCCTTTAAAAAGAATTTTAAAATGAAAATTAACTGAATATTTTTTCCTAAATCTATACATATCATTACTTAAAGATGATAAACAAAGGATTCTTTGTAGGAGCGCACGTGCGTGAAGGCGAGCGAAAAATCAGTGGTCAATCATTATATTATACGCCGTGATTAGCATGAAGCAGGAATCGTTCGGTTTACGCTATCAAAGGTATCAATGAGGCTACCAGCTGAGCCTGATATGTAAATCTTGATATGTTTTGCAAATACTATACGAACAATTACTCAGATGTTCTTATGTTTAAAAACAGATCAATCGCAAGAACCGCGTGATTCCACGTGCATACTTCTATCTGCAACATCATCATTGCGCAACCCCATGCTTTGTGATTATAGCGTTACTAATTGATTCAAGAATAGATACAGATAAAGATTCGTGTGCATTGGTCAATTCTAAAATTTCCCTTTTTGTTCTGTACAAAACAAAATGTCAAATAAAGTGACAGAATTATTCTTGCACCAGCTTCACTTGTCACACCCCTGTTAACTTACTCAGTAAGATGGTATAATCTCTTCTCATTAAAAGAATCGTTATGAAGGAACTAGTTTATCCAAATGTTCTGTTTACTCGTATGATAACCTATTCATAAATGTATTGATTAAAGACAGAAAAAGTTATTTTCCTCTGCATCTTAGGGTTTTAGATCTGACAGCTTTTGGAACACGAGCTTAATATGTCTCCGGCGATAAGGATTATAGCATAAACATACCACCATTGATCTTTTGGTTTTTTAGTTTGGTAATGTAATTAATTGGATATTGCTTTGGGTAGTCGTTCCTGTAAACAATGGCCCGGAAGAGAGCGCTCCTCGTTAGCCACAGTTTCGCGCCAACAAAGCAAAGACGATGGATTTATTCCAAGTTTTACGACACTCGACGTCAAATATTCGGAAACGGCATCGTTAAGGAACCCTTGTTTATTCTACATACAAACAAATCCTCATATTCAATTTGCCAAAGACAAACGCACATCTGAAAGTACTTTGGTTCCGTTAAATTTATTTCTCTATTATTAAGAATTAAATTAGTTTCGGTGCCAAATTTATTTACATTATTCTTTTTCCGTCTAAATTTTTGCTATCGGACAAAGTTCGCGAGTGTCATCTCCTTCCGCTGGCTGATTGTTATATTTCAAGTTAATTACAGAAATATGGAAAGACCAGGTTTTGTATATATTTTTGCGAAAGCATTGAAAGAACGAGAAACTTACAAGTGGAAACTGTATAACTTTGAAAACAGTTGAAATAAAAATAACCATAATTTTAAAATTACAATAAAAGAACTCGTCTTTTTGAAAAAGATGCCTATTTTATCGTCACTCGATGACCCAGTGGACGTAATTAATCAACATCTAGTTACATTTACTACATATAAGTATCTTGATTAATTCACGCTTTAGTGTTTTTAGAATGGCCGGAAGATGCCCTGTTGTAATTTTTTTTTACCAGATAAGATCTCGGTACCAATACGGTACACGTGGACAAATGAGAAAACAATCAAACATATGTATCACAGAAAACACACACGAGTAACCCGAGCGATCGATTATAAGATAGCTAGAACTAATATTCAAAAAAGTTCTACAACTCGTAGTATCCATTGACCTATTATCTGCTCGTGCTGTTGAGATAAACTGTTTCTTTTTCATAAAATTTTGTTTTCTAGTATTTTGTAAGTAATGGATATTCAAAAGTATTAGGGGTTGGAATACCTTAATTTATTTCACCTGCCGAGAAAACTTTGAAGTACTCTTTCATCTCGTAAGTTAGTGGACGTGCACAGGAATATGCAGTTTGCAGCGCCTTCTAGGGGTCCAGAAAAAAAGGAAATATGAAATACAACATTTCGCAAAAATAAGCATAGAAAATAAAAGACATAATGTAGTAATGTACTGAATTAATTTATCTTAGATGAGAACTGTTATGGTTATGTAAGTACACGGCGGTGATGATTAACGGAGTAGCGTACTGCCCGTGGACATGCGCACAACGTCGTCATCAGATAATAGAATCCATTGCGATATCATCAACAAAAAACAACATTATACAACAAGTATCTAATTTGGAGAATTAAATATGCATTGCACAGCCGCCCGTAAATACATATGTAACGTTATCATGGCCGATTGGACTTCAAAGGAGACGACCTTACGGTAGATGAAATCAAAACTAGCGTACCTTTTCAAAATCTCGTTCCATCAACTTCTTGTTTTGATTTGTTTTTATATCAGTTGGATCGGGAGGTTTTTATAACAGAATATTTACAAATGTCCACAACTGAGACCCAAATAGAGTGAAACAAAGAAAGATTAAATTATCAAAGTATTGAAAGAACTGAAAGCCGTGCTTTAATTGCTCGAGTATATTGTCTGACCTGAAATGAGTACATATCTATTTTTTTTTCCTTTTGGCCATTGATTTTTAACAGGTAGATTTTGTATGATTATGATTTTAAAACAATATCCTGTATACCATTAATTAAAATTAACAGCCCAAACCCCAAGATACGTAATGATTTTAAACTTTAATTATTAATATTTCCAAGAAATGCTCGCATATTTTCTATTCAATAAGCATTTTTTCTAATAATTTAAAAATTCAGTCTTGGAATAGTTAAAATAATGCACACTTGTATTTTATAGACTTTCTTTTAGTTTCAAACAAACTACTTTTATCGTCAACTACCTGTAAAAACATTGATACATGTACATTGTCAATTGACTTCACGCATGTTAATTCTTAAAATTCCAATTCACTATACTATTAATTTGCTAAAAATCAAAACTGAACATAACCACTAACGTAACATCGATGAAAACGATATGAAACATGAAATACTTCAGCAATTTCAACCATCCGAAAATCCCGCGCTATTGAAAATAGTTCGCTACAATATGCATTTAGCAGCGTATGTGCACAAATTGTTATATGATCACGATTATCCCAATAAAGCAAATATCTTATTTTCTTTCACTTTAATTCTCAAGCAAAAATATTGATCATTAACTTTTCCAACGATTGGGATGTTAAAAATATTTGTTTGAATATCTTCTCGCAATGGGACTATTTTGTTTATCGGAAGCGTCTGCTTTGATGTTGTTTGGTTTTTGTTTACTGTGCTATTCATAGTATATATTATATTCATATTATACTATATTTATTTATAGCAGTCAATCAGATGCCTATAGCCAGGACTTTGCTGAAAGCAAAGTCCAGCTAAAAACTGTTCAAAGCAATTTTAGATGTCAATTTGTTTTTATGATGCCTATGGTTCAACCATTTATTTGGCATATAAGCAAACCATTCTTTGACTACTTATTATCTCTCGGTGTTTCAAGAAATGTCTTCATATAAAACAAAAGCATATATCATACATGAGTTTATGTACACCATTTGCAAAACATTTTCATCATATAAAATCATGAACATGATACACAAATAAGCTTTTATAATAAAACCTTCACATTCACATGCGAGTACATTTTTAATAAATGTCATTGGTATCCTTATTGATACTAATCACTGCTAAAGTTCCATTCCTGGACTTCGAAAACCAGTTCATCATCCTATGAACACATGAGGAGTAAATTTTAACAGAATGTAGTCCAAACACATTCATGGATCATTTCTTTGGAGGTGGTCTAAAAATAAATAATGGTTAAAATTATTCCATCAAACCCAAAATATTGGTACATAGGGTACAATTTACACACTAAGTTTCTTTTTACAAACTGCCTATAGCTGAAAAAATTACAGTCTTTCAAAACAAGAGGCCCATGGGCCTTATATGTCACCTGAGCATCATGCAACAACTTTCAAATGATTAAATTTGGTTCATGTTTTACTCTAGATGCAATTCACAATTTTGAAAGAGGCACCATTGCTAATCATAACTATATACTTAGCAATATTATTGCTTAATTTGGTTACTTAATACCCATTGGCAGGGTAGGGGAACAAAAAATGCATTTCAGCCAATCAGCAATATTTAGCAATAATCATAAGTGCCCCTACCACACACGAACCCCTGACCCTAGGTCCACACATTGCACAATATTTGAAAAGGTACACTTGCTTATAAATTTTTTTTTGATTAATACCGAGGAGCAGATTTCAAACAATTCATTTTCAATATATATGTAGAATACCCCCCCCCCCCCCAAAGTATCCCTAACCCAGGGGCCTTGAAATTCACATTTCTGGAAGAAGAGCCCTTGCACATCATAACTATATAGGTAGTTCATTTACTTTTTACCCAGAAGCAGAGAAAAAAATTTTCAAAAATGTAATATATTTTCACTATAAAATCATTATAGAGCCCCGCCCTAACACCAGAACCCCTGATCCTGGGGCCATGAAATTCATAATTTTGGTAGAGGCATTCTTGCTCATTATATGAGGGGTGATCAAAAAGTTTGCAAACTATCTCTATATCTACAAAACCACAATTCAGATTAGAATGAAATTCGGTACACACATAGCCAATTTTGCCATACACAAGGTCTATAAATAGCATATGCTGAATAAAGTTTCTCTCCTTGTTTGTGACGTCACAATGTGAAAATGACGTCACTATTTAGGTCACTTATGACGAAAAATGGTTGTCTCAGTCGAACTCGTTCAACAAACGACTGTACAATTTATTGCAATATCTTAGAAATCCCTCTGCAGTATCATATAATAAGTACACAGTTTATAGAGATAAATGAGTTCCTATAAATTCAATTAATGATTGGATTAATCGTTTTAGTGAAGGAAGGCTGATGGTTAAAAATGATACTTGTCATCTTGCGCAGTGAAAGCAAGTTTGAAAAGATATGTATTTTTAATTAAGCAATTTGCTATCAAAGACCTCCAACTAGCACTTTGAAAAATAGTTGAATATTTGAACAATGATATAAGTATTAAATATCTAAGATATCGTTTACTTTAGATTTTAAACATATTAGACATGATAAAAAGGATGCACCCATTCTCTATCCACCTTGAATAAAGGTATCTCCTGAGACAGAAGATTTGTGTTTTAATAGTCGCCATGCTTATTTTTGGAAAGGATGTTATTATCCACCCATTCTGTTGCCGAGATATGACCATTTCTGACAAATGAAGTGTTCTTGTCATAAAAATTAACTCACATGGAAAGAAATATAAAACGCGGAAAAATCTTTCAACTTTTGTGACAGAACGCTACGGAGGGGGTCACGTGACCGCCAATATCACGTGATTCGCGCATGCGCAGAACGATGGTTGATGTGCATTAAAATCGGGGAGGATCAATTTAAAATATAATCAACATTAAAACCAAATATTGTTTCTTGTATGGAAGTTATTCAATTAGTTTGCGAACTTTTTGATCACCCCTCGTAACTATGTAGTTAGTTAATTCATTTAATACCTAGGAGCAGATAAGAAGATTTTCAAAGAATTAGTACATTTTCTCAATATAATCAATAGAGCTACACCCTGACACCAGAACCCCTGACAATTGGGCCATAAAATTCACATTCTGGTAGAGTCATTCTTGCTCATCATAACTATGTACTTAATTTATTCAATACCTAGGAGCAGAGAAGAAGATTTTCAGAAAATTAATGCATTTTCACTACATCATCAATAGAGCCCCGGCCCAAAAACCAGAGCCCTTGACCCTGGGGCTATAAAATTCACAATTTTGGTGGAGGCACTCTTGCTCAACATATCTATAAACTTATTTAGTTTATTTAATACCCAAAAGCAGAGAAGAAGATTTTCAAAGAAATAATGCATTTTCACTATATATTCAATATAGCCCCGCCCTAGCACTACAACCCCTGACCCTTGGGAACATGAATTTCACAATTTTGGTAGAGGACTCAATGCTCATTGCATTCATGCCAACAGTTTGACTGCCTAATGTCCAGAAGTAAAGAAGGAGATTTTTAAAGATTTCATTAATTTTAGGGGTTTTGGCCCAACCCCTCAGGCCCCAGGGGGGCGGGAACCATAAAATTCACAATTTTTGTTCAATGGATGCTGTATAACAAATTTGGTTGAAATTGGTTCTGTGGTTTCAGAGAAGAAGCTGAAAATGTTCAAATGTTAACACACGACGCACGACAGACAACACACAACACACGATGCATGACGACGAAGGGTGAAACGTTTAGCAATTTTGTCAACGTTTAACTCGGTGATAAAAGTAAAGAACATAATACATGTACTAATTTTGGAAAAGCATGCCATTCAATATTTTCAGGGAATAACAATGAATAGTGTTGATGTCCTTAAATTTAATAATCAATTCTTTAACTTTAATATAAGTATGAGTTGTTATTACAAATTTATTGTTGGTCATTGTGATTTAACCGTAAGAATTTGAAAAATTAAACTTTGCAACAGCAATAAATTTACACAGATTGCTTGGTTTGTTTTTTACTTTGACGTAGATTTAAATAATTGTAAAGATGGATCTTTTAAAATTTTTACAGAAAAAAGTAAAAATAAGACCTGCTGACTGTATTGAAACTTTTCAAAACTTGTGAAAAATGTATTATATTTATTTAATCAAAACATATCAAGTTTTATATTTCAAGTGTCGAAATTTAACATTCAATAAATAGCAACTGAAATGGACAAGTTAACTATTTATAATTTTCCTTTTAAAAGATATTTTCATTCAATATGTTTTTTTCTTATATTTGACTTATCAAATGGTACAAGACGTATCAAATATTTTTTAAATTATATAATAAAACAATTTGTTTGTGTTAAACTTTATGGTTACTCATAGACATTGATAATGACCTTCGTGTAAACGTTTCCCAACCAAATGTAAACGTTTGAGCATATAATATTTTCCCAACGTCGCCGTTTACACGTGTAATCGTTTCGCCCTTAATGACGACGAATGGAAACGGATAGCAATAGGTCACCTGAGTAACTCAGGTGACCTAAAAATTCAAAGAACATAATACATGTACTAATTTTGGAAAAGCATGCCATTCAATGGCTTTTTATTGAATAACAATGAATAGTGACCAATCATGGATTTGCTATATTTTAAGAAAATATTGTAAAGAATTTTTAAAAAATTTTCCTATATATTTCTATGTAAAATGAGTCTCTGAAGAAGATTTTAGCTTTTCTATATATTTTATGAAAAATAGCATTTGAACTTGAAACTTTGCAACAGCAATAAATTTACACAGATTATCATTGGTTTGGTCTTTTTATTTGCAAGATTTATTGCAATTTCAGTCTACGCGAAAGTTTAAAATTTTTACAGGACAAAATGTCTGGTAAAAATAAATTTCTTACCAGACCGACTTTTTTCCCCTATAAATCCATACATTATGATACTGAGATTGAGAGGGTGGGTGGGATGGGATTAATTCTCACTGTGAAATTTAACCTTCAATAAATTCAGACTGAAATGGACAAGTTAACTATTTATAATTTTCCTTTGTAAAAGATATCTACTTGTACAATTGCATGCTTTTTTTCTTCATATTTGACTTATACAACATACAATGTATCAAATATTTTTTAAATTTAATATGCATATTTATTTTTCTTAAAACAACTCATTATGGTTACTCAAGTTCAATGATCATTGAAAAATAATTTCCCAACCAAATCTACGTATGAGCTATCTAAATATTTTCCCAACCAAATCTACGTATGAGCTGTCGAAAGATCTCTAATCCTTGACAGAGGAAATTCGAATTACAATAAAAACGATCATGACAGGGTTGTAATACATAAAAATGAATCAGGTATTGCTGCTAAGTTGGTCAAATAAAGGATATTTGTGGGAAACTGGACCATGTGTACCTCTTTATTTAGTTTTATTTGGCCTTATTTTTTATTGGACATTGGTCCTGTATACTGAAATTTTTTACCAACCCGACCTAAAAGTTACCCAGTTATGGCAATCCCATAATGGCATTCATCGAAATCAAAAACCAATATTCAGATTTATGTATCTTAGAGTAGTCTACATGTGTGCCAAAGTTATATTGAAATCAGACCAAAACTTAAGAAAAGTAGCATATTAAAAATATTTCAAAGAAATTTATATGCTTAGTAACCATGGCAATATCGTTCAAGGAAATCAAAAACCGTTACACAGAATTATGTATCTTACTGCAGTCAACGTGTGTGCCAAGATATATTAGAATCAGACCGAATCTGTAGGAGAAGTTGCATTTTAAAAATATTTCAATAAAATTTTTAGTTTTAGTAACCACGGCAATACTGTTCATCGAAATCAAAAAAACGATACACAGAATTATGTATCTTAGTGTAGTTTACTTGGTGCCAAGTTATTGAAAAATTATTTCGAGATGAACATACAGACAGCTAGATGGACGAACGACTGACACCTTACTATCCGAAAGCTCTTAGCTAAAAAAAAAAGTACGTAAGGGTTGCCCGCAACCCTGTGTCTCGCCTGCTGTCGCTGTGGTTAGTAAGAAATGATTGTCTGATAAACTGAAGCATTTATTGACATTTCAGAAGGAATAACTCAAAAATACAATAATAAAGAAATGGAACAGCTGACTTAATATCTAATCCCTTGGCGATTATATTGGCATTTATATATATATACATATACCCTGTAAATTCACAAATTATTGTGATGTTTTTATTATTGCGAATATTGCAACGTGTTATGAGTCGCAATAATTTGAACTTGCATTTTGAAATCAAATCCACTGTATATGTATCAAGTCATTCATGCAGAAAATGTAGGTGAAGATTACCTAATTATGGTACTGATATTGTTGGTTACCCATGATGTGTAGACTGACAAATTATCATGCCACTATAAGTTATAGTTGCTGAGATATGGACCTCCACCATAAATTTAATATAAAGTCACTAATCATTAAAATGTAGATCAAACATTACCTAATTCTGGTACAGGCGTTTGTGGTTACCCATGATGTATCCACTGACAAATTATCATGCCACTATAAGTTATAGTTGCTGAGATATGGACCTCCACCATAAATTTATGCAAAGTCACTCATCATTAACATTTTTCAGGTTTTTGAAGATGTGTAATTCTGGTACAGTGTTTGTGTGTTACCCATGATTATCCACTGACTAACTATCATGCCACTATAAGTTTTTTTTGCTGAAAAAACCTCCATTATCAATTTAACCAAAGTCATTCATGGATAAATGTAGGTCAAAATGACCTGTGTATTCTGGTATTTATGTTGTTGGTTACTTATAACCTGTACAATGACAAATTTTTTATCATGCCATTATAAGTTATAGAGTTATGGCAATCCCATATGGCCTCCACCAAAAATTTAACCAAAGTCAGATTTATGTATCTTAGAAAAATGTGTGCCAAAGTCAAGATGACCTAAACTCTGGAAAAGTAGTATTAAAAATATGTATCCACTGAAATTTATATGCTTATAACTTATAGTTGCTGGAATATAGGTCTTCACCATAAATTTATGAAAAAACTGCAGTCAACTTGTGTGCCAAATATATTAGAATCAGAAAAATTTGAATTTTTTTTTTAAAAATATTTCAATATAAATTTTTATCCATACTGAATATTGTGTCCAAATTTCAAAAAACTGAATAAAATTTGTAAAGTTATTGCAGTTTATAAAACTTTGACATTTGGGTTAACCAAAAGTTATTCGACGACGACGACGACGACGGAATCTATGGTCGCTATGTCTCGCTTCGCGACATTCGTCGCAGGCGAAAAAAAAAGCAAAGTTTACATTTTTTTTGCGTAGAAAAATTTTGATGTCACAAGGAAAGTTTGCAAATGAACTTGGATATAAATACTTCAACTTCAATTTTGCAATTTTTTACCATTTGAGCAGTCAAAGGACCATGTTCAATTCACTTAATTAACACATCATGATCTATTATTTTGGGGGCTTGGTTCCTGAGAAGTTGAAAAAGTGAAAACTTTACAGACAGACAAATGGATGCAAGACTACGGGCCTGGGTGCCATAAAACTTAAACAAGCTTACTTTTGATCCCAGTCTCACTTTTTCCAAAGGAATTAATAGTGGAAAAGTGAGATCAAGATCAAAAGTGAGCTCGTCTAAGTTTTATGGCCCCCCCAGGCAGGGTGTTCAGAAAATTTCCTTGCGCATACAGCTCAAGTGGGCTTGAAAAACCTGAAAATACTTTAATTAAATTGGGCTTGAAAAACCTGAAAATACTTTAATTAAATTAAGTACATGTTGAGGCACCACCATTTGTGCATAAATGACTGATTAATGTAAATGATGGCCTTAAATAATGTTTTACTTCCCCACCTGTACACGCCCACCACTACGGCATGGTCTCTCTCGTACGGTTCCAGGGTCAACTGTTCCTGGGGCTTGATTTTCTCCCCCTTTAGTTTGTTGATTTCTCCAGCAAAGACAGCCTCAGGTTCAGCAGTGGAATCAACACAGTTAGCCTGTAGTTAATACAAATGACAACTATACAAGAAAGGTAACTCTTTTACAATCATATAATACCCAAGTGTTTGCCATTATAACACTACATTACTGTCATTCTAAAATCAAAGTAACCGTAACTTAATCTCATTAGAATTTATGAATGTTCTCTTTAAGTTTTGACGTTTACCTTTATGGAGATTACAATATGACCATTGTTTTTGAGGAAGTGATGTGCATTAATGGCTACAATTCTGGCTTGATCAGGTTGTGCAACATCAGCAAATATTGTGTCCACCATACCTAAATAAGGTACAATCATAATTAAATGCCATCAAGTATGGTTTACATTTTAAAATTTTATAATTGTTGATAAATCCTTACCAACAAGCATTCTGTATTTGTGAGGGTGTCGCGCATCTTCAATGATGGGGATGATATTTGTCCTTTTCTTTGCCACATTTATCAGATCTCTGCCACTTCTGTGTGAAAACTCTACAGCATACACCAAACCTTCCTGTAAATTACATATACAGCAACAAAGTTTTTAGTATTATTCAATGTTCCATATTTTGTACAAAATCTGCTTGCAAGACATATATATGTTCAAGCAGGACACAGTTGAAAATAGTCCAAAGGTGAGTACTCTACACAGCTGACACAAACAGAGCTGTCAAGAGCAGATGTACACATTCCACATACATACAAAACAATTTATGTTACATGTAAAAATTGCAATTTTACAAGAACATGAACTTTCCTAATACAATGAAGTGATATGAAGTAGAAAAATTTCCTAAGTGAATAAAACATTTTGTAATGAGCTTTCTTTTGAACGATGGTTGTTACACGGTGATATTGACACACCCAGGAGATGTTTACTCCTCCATGGCATCTGGTTCCACTTCTGGTGTAATTAGAGGTTAATTTAATTTAATCAATATTTTATTATGTTTCCCATTTTTGTTGCACATATAACAATTGTTCAATAAGATTGGTGCCATTGACATCATAGTAATTAGAGGTTATTATCGGTAATAATCGGCAGATAATTGATTAATAATCGATTATCAAAAGTTAAAACTGGATTTCTGTCAGACTTTTACTTTACTTACATAAAATATTCAAAAATGTTAATTGAAATTTCTTTTTTTAAAAAATAATATTTTGTTTACTTTAAACAATATAGGACTATTGAAACAGAAAGGGAATTTATTTTTTTTATAAAGTCCATGCAATGGGTATTTTACCCCATATTTTGTTGCAAAGAAATTTAAGTTGCAAGTTTTAAAAGTAATTATCCAGAAGTCAGACTATAACAAAGATTAATGTTTTCCTTTGTATAGTAAAACCTTGCAATATTACCATTTCCTGTCCCCCAATTTAATCATGTGCCAAGACACGGAAACCTTGTTTTCAACGTTCATCACTACTTTTATGCTCTTTGCACTTGGATTTGGTAATAAAATTAAACTTTTTACCACATTTATCATAATCGATTAGTAGCATTACTTAACTGTAATTACTTAACTGTCAGTCTGAGAACTCTGTACTTACTGGTCCAACAATATCTGAGACATGACTGACAGTGGTCCCTGAAGCTGCCCCAAGGTATAGGACCTTGGCTCCTGGTTTCATGTATATTTTGTCTACACCTCCTAAAATGGCCGCTGCTAACTTTGATCTAAAGGGATTCCAGGCTCTGTATTCTGTCTTCTTCTCTCCTTCCTAAAATCAGTACAGTTTGAGCTTCAGAAATCATTAAATTTCAAAAAATATTGGCCCTAAGAAGGATAATCAACCAGAAATAAGCCCATGGATTATATGAAATTACTTCCACTGCTTGGTAAGGAACATAGTTTCAATAATTTCTGGCTTGAAAATTCCTTTAGATTCATTTAATGCATCAGATATGAAAAAAGTTTCTTTAACACAAACCTCTACGACAATCTTTTTCTCTCCATAAACTGTTTCACCAGGGACCATATTTAATGTAACCAAGGCATCTTCTTTACCTCGAGCAATGAATACACCTAAAATATGAAGTTAATCATCATACAAGGCCTGCTGTTCATATCAATAAATGAAAAACAGACCATGCTTCTGAATTCCCAGTATAAAGATGACTACTGACTGCCATGCTTTACACAGAATATTCCTACCTTCATGTCTGTGAGGCTCCACCACTACACTCTTCCCTCCCCTAAATCCTCCTCTACCTAGAAATGATCAAGTGTCAATTAATTTTATTCCTCACAATTAAACATTCAAAGTTATAATTTTATCCCCTTTTATCCTCTTTCAAAGCTATTTTATTTTACATCTTGTATACATACCCCCTCCTCTGCCTCCCCTTCCTGCAAAGAAAATACATCTTATTATGAAAAGTGCATAAATTAAAAATAAAAAGTTCTTCTTTCCTAAATCTTGTATTGGGATTCATGATTTGGGCTACTGAAAATACAGGAACCATTTAGTTATTATATGCTCAGTATTTAAGTTTCATACAAATTACATGTATATTTTGAGTAAAAAATTTTTTTACCCAGTAATTTTACATTTAAAAAATCATAACAGTTTTCAATTAAATAAACGAGCCTTCTTGCAATAAAACAGTTTTAACAAAGAGAATGCCCATAAAAAACATATCCACAAAATTAAAATATTTATTGAAAATCTTTTTGCATCCTGCATCACATTTTCCTCCTCAAATATACATATCTAAATATCAAAATTGTAAAGAATAACAAAGAAATCATTACACTTTACACAATCACAGACATACCTCCTCCTCTCCCGCCTCTGCCCCCACCCCCTCGACCTCCGAAGCCTCCTCTACCGCCACCACCACCTCGACCCCCAAAGCCTCCTCTTCCTCCCCTCCCCCCTCTGTCTCCTCCTCTACCACGACCACCTCCTCTGCCTCGCGGTGTGAAATCTGAAAAAAATGTCCATTACAAATTTAAATATCAAAATTCAAGAGAGTGCAGTCTAAAAGTTTAAAATTTTTACAGTGACAATCTGGTAAAAATAAAATTTTTACCAGACCAAACCATTTTTTAAAATAGTTGAATTTTTCTCCCCTTTAAAATCCATACATCATTATGATACTAATATTGAGAGGGTGGGTGGGATGGGGTTAATTCACACTGTGATATTTAACCTTAAATAAATTCAGAGTGAAATAGACAAGTTAAATATTACATAACTTTTCTTTGTAAAAGGTATCTATTTATACAATTGCATGCATTTTTTTCTTTATATTTGACTTATACAACAAACACTGTATCAAAGATTTTATGAAATTTAATATGCACTTTCAATGCATATTTATTTTTTCCTGAAACAATTAATTATGGTTACTCAAGTTCAATGATCATTTGAAAATAATTTCCCAATTGAATCTACATATGAGCTATCTAAATATTTTCCCAACCAAACCTACGTATGAGCTATCTAAAGATCTCTAATCATTGACAGAGGAAATTCGAAATTAGAATAAAAACGATCATGAGGACACAGACTACCAATTATTTTGCTATACATTCCTTTATAACATAAAAAATATTTTAAAAAATTACACCGGCTCAACTTACCTGAAACTTGGCACAGAGTAAGACCATTTCAAGTCCAAAAATTTACCAAGTTCTCAGGAACATTCATAGTCTGCAAGTCCTTTTATGGCATCGCAAATAACCCCTACCCTGCTTTTTTCACTTTCTCTTCGAGGAAAGGGTAAATATTGGCCTCTTTACATCCTTCCTACTACGCGCTTAAAAGCAGAATTTCCCATTAATATCATTTTTATAATTTTTTTCAGACCCTCTCCTTTCCATTTATGCCCAAAAATAACCGCTTTCTACTCCATAAACGCCCCAAAGAATTTTTAAGGAGAAACCTCTATTTTTAAACTGGAACTACTTGAGTGGTCAATGAAATAGGGGTAAAATTAGTAGTCTGTAACCATGACAGGGTTGTAATACATAAAAATTAATCAGGTATTACTACTAAATTGGTCAAATAAAGGATATTTGTGGGGAATTTGACCATGTGTACCTCTTAATTTAGATTTATTTGGCCTAATTTTTTTATATTTGGTCCTGTATACTGAAATTTTTTACCGACCCGACCTAAATTTTACCGGTAAAAACCGACGGTCCGGTGACTTTCGCATAGACTGAGAGTGAAAAAGGTATTGCAAATTGTAACAGTGACATATGGTTAAAACATGATGACATGTAAATTTGAAGCGAGAAAAAACGTTCATAAAAATAGTTGAATTTTCGTCTTTATGTGGATTATACCTTAGGTTTAAAGGCATACACAACCTCATAAATGTTTGTGATTATTAATTTGTAAGTTATTTTCAGTGCAAATACTTTTGGACTTTTCAAAATTGTTTTGGAGCGATTCTGCATTTTTTTGCTACAGTGCGAGTATATGGGAAGTATTCTTACTGTGGTGAGGGATTATCCCAAGACACAGTTAGATTATTCTATAAACTCAGTAACTAGGGGTTCCTGTGATTGTGGTAGACACTTTTTAGTATGAATAAGTAAAGGATTCCCTGCATTGGACACAAATCCTATGGTACATTTTATTAAACTGCAAATCTGTTAAAAAACTTTCCAAAATTGTATCACTGTCAGACATGATGAATTGATGATGAACATGTGTGATCTCTTCATGAAAATTAAAAGATGAACTTCGGCCTTCTTGGTACCGGGGACAAATAAAATGTATCCCAGTCACAAAGAAAGGTGTAAATATTGTGCTTCATAGTGGAAGCTAAATTTATTTCTAAAAATAATGACATTAGAAGATCACATTTTTCTAAGCTTCTAACAATAACATTTACTCATTACTGTTTTGGTGTGCTTGGATGATCATGATATGCATATTTTTTCATTTTAAGGCACTCCACAGCTAGTAAACTGTAATTGATACATGCTCTTTTATAAGTATATCAAGAGAATTAAACTATCAAATTGAAGTTGTTGTAATGAAAGATAGTACCTGGTCTTCCCATGTTTTCGAAAAATGCTACCCACGTGTGTTTAGTTTTCTAAAATTTCCCATAAAGCCACACTTCCCAAACTTCCGTTTTTTCAAATCCCGAGTGTATTTCTGAAAAGAAATTTATTCCTTGTTAAATATTTTCCCGTACACTAGATGTTGAATATCAATGTAATTCGGCATACTTTACACCAAATCCAGTGTTTGAAAATAAGAATACGTACTTGAAGGCACATAGCCATTCAAGTTTTTTGAAAGTCTTTGAAAAAGAGGGGGGGGGGGGGTAGCCAGAGGAATAAAAAACTTGTACGGAAAAAAAATGATAAGCAAACCAATCAATATTTTCAGTTGTAAAATTTAATGTGAGGAAAAAAGTGTGGACCCCCCTTTATTTATTACGTCCCTGTCGATTTTTTTTTTTTTTTAATTTTTCACTTGGAATGAAAATTTATAAAAATGTTAATGTTAAAAATAAACAATTTATTTTTTCCATCGTCAAATTTGTCGAAAAAGTCTTCTCTGACTTAAAACAAATTTGACCACAACTTCCAGTTTTAATTCCACAAAACCCATTAAAAAAAACCTTGACAATATCGATATATATTCTTTTAAAGAATCAATGCAGTTTTCATAAATGTTGTGCCCCTCAGTCAATATTTTAGTAGTAACGGTCTTTCTTTCTCGATTCCTTCCCTTTTCTCAGAAATCTAGGCCTCATTATGTTATGTTTCCGGTCGCATCGTACGTATATATTTGAAACACGGGCATGCATGTATTTATTTTTAACCCATGGTATAACAAATCATTATACTATGGGTTAAAAGTTTATTATAGAAACAAGTGCCTGTGATTTGAAATATACATGTTTTATTGGAGTAAGACCATTTTTTCATCATCTTCCCATAGCAGAAGCATCGTATTCTAATAACGCTCTATAAGAGGGAGAGGGAAAATTTGGTTTTGCGATGCTTGTGTATCTGTCTGTCACAATCGCATGTCTTTAAATTTTTCGGACTTTTAGACACAGACACCCGGCGTAACATATTTTCTCATAAAAATATTAAACTACCATACTTAAAATTATTAGGTATGGGTTATCCTTTTTTATATATCAGAAAAATATGTATCGTCGGGTGCCTTAACGGTTGTTAATTACATTGAAATAATAAACCTATATAAATTAAATATATTAAATTTAGTTCTTACATGTTGTCAAGGAAAATTACAGGTGAACAGGTCCTTCCCCACCCACAGCTCAATGAATGCCGGGCCGTTTGTATTTTTCCCCTCATAATTATTTCAAATGACATACATGTATTTGTTATCAAATCCATAGATACCATCAAATCGAAAATTTACCCGAAAGAAACAAAGCATATGTGCATGTATATAAGAAATTTTACCCACTATATACAGCCGGGTAATCTTTTTTGTAAATTGTTTTGTATTGGTCATAAAAGTATATACAGTAATTTATGAGAGAAAAAGTCTGAAAGATGGGGCTCCTGTCCTACCTGTAAAATCATCATTATCATTACACTGAAAGAAATACCTAGTTGATTTAACTAGTATGCCTAGTAAAGCATTCTTCATGATTAGTAATCACTCTGTTTACGAGCTAAGATAGTGAAAAGTGGAGTAGTGGTCGTAAAGATACTTAAATACCTAGTGAAAGTTACTCATAAATTCTTAGATTTGCTAATATTATCTAGTAAATCTACCGAATGCCTAGTAAAACTACTTTCAAGGTAGTGATTGTATGGACAGTCAATTTACTAGTCTTCTTCGTGACTTTCACTAGTTATTTTTTTCAGTGTAGAAGTATCATTAGAGAAACATGTAGTAGTATTTTAATTCCACTTAAGGGCATGTCATCAAGATCAGAGAGAAATGACTCAGAGAATACTGCAGTGAGTGAAGAAAGATCCCAATAAATAAACAAATACAAATTTAATTTGTAAAGTTTTAACATTTTCTGTCAAATGTTAAGTGAAAAAAATCATCTGCAAATAATAAGGTTAAAAAATTCAACTCCGTGTATATTGTATCTCTTTATTGAGAAAGCCAAAGATGATGGCCTCAGCAGATAGAACAGAGTTCACTTTGTCGGTTTCTCCTAACAGCAGACCCTACAGACACCGGTCTCTTCTTCTCTTTCTTTTTGTAGGTCATATCAAATATAGACACAAAGTCGTTGTTGTAGGGGGGACACGATGACACCAGCAGCTTGTCTCCCGTCCTGTTGATGGCCACACACTGAGGGCGCTGAATACCGTCCTCCTTTGTAAGGAGGGTCTTTACCTCTTCTCCATCAAACGATATCACCTGAAATGAAATGGTATATTAACAGGTCATAACCAATATAAAATTTCAACTGTATTTTAAATAAGATTCAGCCACAATCTGTTGTTTTAAACTTTTTCATAAGCAAATTTGTTCGCTTCTGACGGAGATGCACTGCCTCTTTACCGAAGACGTGTCACTGCAATATTGTACTTGATGGTGAATTTCCTCATTTTTAAAGATAAGAAATATCTAACTAGTCTCTGCTTTATGATGGCATGGTCACATACCTTAATGCTATTGTCTTTCATGTCTGCAACCAAAAGGTGATCGCCACAGATACATAAACCTCTCGGCATTTCAAATTTGTGTTTCCACCGGAACCGACCCTGTGTGGTGACGCAGATCACGTGTCCCTCCATTCCCACTCCATCAGCCACAAAGATCAAAGACGCAGCTTCGTTCATCACACAGTACCATGGTTCTCTAAACAGACTCTTTCCATCAATGTCTTGCCAAATATGGCGGACAATTTCTATATCCTGGAGAATGATTCGTTTGTCCAAGTCTTTACCAGAGCACACGGCTAATTTACTTTGACTGGAACATATTCCTCTACAGTAACCCGACAATGACAGCATTTTTGGCACATAAATTTTCCAATCGTTGTTGTAAGTTTTTGTCAATTTTAATGAATTATTTTCTACAGTACAATACCTGATACAACCCGAATCACCAACTGCGGCAGTTTCGTTATCCATCAATGTTAAATCGTAAGGCTTGAAGGAATCATCTTCAGTTATAAATTTAAAATCTGCAGAGAACAGTTTTAATTTCAAATTTCTGTTGTCTGCCATTAGTATTTTATCGTCTTCCAAAAATACTGCACCCGTTATCCAAACCTCAGCATTATCCGTCTCCGAGGTAACATTTAGCTGTTTGCAGCCCGTGCACTCGATTGTGTACTCGAATAAGCTACCATGGTCTTCAGGAAGAGACAGAGTCGTCACCGCCGTAGAAGACCTAGATGGCGGTGATATATTTTCTAGGGGGAAGAGCTTATGACCTTTGGTGGCCTTAAGAAGCTGATGAAACCTTGAACAGTCGGCACAGTATTCCTCTTGGCACGTCCGACAGAGATTCACTGCTTTTGTGTTGATCTCTCGCTTCAAACAAAGTCTACAGGGTTTATCGTTTCTCTTTGGCACCATGATGTCCATGAGGCTAATGATTTGATGGTTGCTCGGGAACTGATCCACCCAGTCTTCCACGGGTTTCCGAACATCGGACGGCACAACATTATGGCGGCAAACTGGACACGAAAACTCACAGTTCCTTGTTTTATTTTCCTGCTGTTTGGTGATATATACACGCAGACATTCTCTACAGAAGGAGTGCAGACAGGGAAGGCCTTTGGGATTAGTGAAGATGTCGGCACAAATCGGACAAGTAAATTCCCGATACAATTCCTCATCCATATCTTGAAGTATTCCCAATTTTCTATTAATTTATTTGCTACTTATCCGTATTGAGGTTGTTTCAGTCCGATCAGTTCAAACGCGAAGGTGGTGAAAAATTGACGAGTTCTAACCAAATACAGTACAAAAATCATTTGTGTTTTTCAATTGTCATGTTTCGAATTAAATTTCTCAATCAAAAAGGAAATATGAAAGGTGATCAGCGAAGCATATGTAGTTCACGTCAATGTTAACCAATCACATAATATTACTCTACAGTAAATGTAGTCTCTGTTTACCGATGAGTCCAATTCATTGTTCGACAGAAAATATATTCAATATCACACTAAGGACTTTAACACAAATACGTCTTTAACTTTTCAATGATGGAAGCAATGCCCAGAGATTTTCAATTAAAGATACATCATTTGTTCAATCTCCACTCAAGAAAAATCTTTTCAGTTTAAATAACGTTTTTATTTCGTAGTGTAGAGGGTACACAGTGCTTTAATTTCAATGCAACCTATAATCAGAGACAAGAAAATGTAAATACACATTTGAAAAATGAAATAAGTTTTGCCTCATGCTGATAAAGTTTTAAAGCCAAAGTTTGCTTGTTGTATCAAATATGTCTTCTAGAATGGTTATGATGAATATACAAGTACCCAGTCTTCAAAAGTAGATGCATATACACCGAAAAGACAACTCTGTGCAACGAATAGTATTAGTCCTCTAAGATGGGCTCCGAAAAATTTAAGCTGAAATACCATGGAATACTGTAATCAATGCAGGCAAATACTAGTTCAGATAAAGATTTTTATTTTTATTACATTGCATAATTATTATGTTATTTTAAGGAGAGGGATTAGAAAGTTGTTAGAACTTGTTGTTGATCCATTTGATTGTGAATAAAATAAGTTCAAAATAAATCTTAATTTTTTATTGTTAGACTATGAATGAAATTAGAAACACAAAATATTTATTTACACTTGTACAAAATTTATTCCCATTAAAATACTTTTTCTACAATTTCCCTAAGGAGGGATTCTTGTCTGGTTTCTGACTACATGAAAAATTCAAAGTATATTTGCTTATATGTCTTATATATTAAGGATATCCGATCCTCAGCCAGGAAGAATACCTCTTTTATTTATTTTAATTCAAAAAGTCTCAAAATAAAGCTTGAAAATGAAATATTTTCATGCAACAATTTTCATTTTATGCCTCTTAATATAACGTGATTCAAGGTTCTTTGAAGTTTTAAGAAAGGATATATAAAAAGTAAATATTTGAACCTCATAAAAAGAAGTAAAAATTACATATCAAATGAAATCGAAGATCTTTAAATCTAGCCTTCGTTATCAATGTTTATTAGCATGATATGAAATGAGAAATGATTTATGGTGTTTTCTGTGATAGGGAATACTTCCTACACTATGTATTATAAAATTATCGAAGTAAATAGGAGAAACTAAAGTATCGAATTAACATGAATATCATAAAAATTTTCTTTAGAAGCCTGGATACCTATGATTTTTATTTTTAAAATGTATTAATTGATCGATTTTCAATAAGAAAATAAGCTTTAGGTAGTTCTATTCGCATTTCCTGAAAATTTATTTGAGATTTACTATTTTTCCTACATAATATGATTAACTTTGAAGATACTGTTTTGATCCACACCGTGGGTAAATACACATTACTTTGAGAAATCTGATACTTCTTTGTGAGCATTTTCAATTACTCAAAGCCTGATTTTCATAACCTCTGGATCGGACTACCTTAAGATGTGAGGGATGTTAGTATAAAATACGAGTACCCTTTACTGGTACGAAAAGCTTAGGTGAATTAATATTTAGGACAAGAAATTCTTCGTGTTGAATTGCACTTGGAATCCTTGGACCTTTTTAATTTTTTTTAATCCATCAAATTAATGGGTGTGGAAACATGAGCACTGAACTGCCCTTGATGAGGTAGGAAATACAGGTTCTGGTCGAGAATTTATATGATCTTGTAACCTTCTTTGTTGAATAGAAACACAATTGGTGTATGACAGACTTGAAAAAGATAAATCACTACAGCGGAACAGGTCTTCACAACAAAATTAATAAAGTTGTGACATGTGTTTCTGACTTAAAATTGACGCCATATAACATCGACATTTTTCAACTGTCATGCCTGTTATTAATTATCTCTTGAAGCGAAAAAGTACTGCAGAGAAAAACAACTTGAAACACGTTTTCTGTGCCTCTAAATTCCTTACTTACGTACGCAAACCATTTCAATTTATCATTGCTAATAGTAACGTTTTAAATATGTTAACAAAAGAAATTTAAGTCCAAAAATTCAAACAAGGGTTTTTAAAATTTCTTTACGTGGAATAGGAAACAAAATAAAATTTACTGTAAGTATGACTATATGTTCTATAGTAAAATTGTTATTTCCGCTTTTTAAGATATTTGTATTTTAATGCATTATAACTGAAAGTAGGAAAGTACTTTGAAAAACAGTAATTTATTTAATTTTCCAGAAAAAGAAAATAGAATGAAGCCGATCCTTTTGTTCTTTTGTCTACTAGGTGAGTGGACATTATTATTTTAAATCATTATCATTTTAGTGCCATTTTTGCTGTAGTTATTATTATTTTTTAAAAATTCAGTTGTGTTCATTGTGTGTGGATACACTTTTTTAACCAAAGGAGGAAACTGTTATAAGAAATATGGTTCTCATGCTTTCTTCTTAAATGCCTGGTGATGAGAAATTAATAATGTGTTAAAAAAGGTAAAAACATGTATACTTTACATATAGGTATTATTAACTTTTTTTCATTATTTATTTCAATTTTCTGTCTGCTAATTAACCACTATACATTGTATTTATTTACCTTTTTTTCACACAGGAATCAAATTTGCAGAATCTGGATGTGAGTATGCCATTAGCTGTACTGTTTTATTTCCATTATAACAAACAGATATGGATTTACATCATTTTTACAGTAAAGTTCCATGCAATTTTTTTTTTTTTTTGGTGAGATAAGAATCGACAGGACATCAGAAGAAGTAATCATCATTCACACACAGTGTTTGGTTTTTACAGGTCAGTTTGGAGAAATGGAATACGCGGGATATCCAGTCTCTCCTTTTCCTATCAGAAAGACAATTGTGTTTGACAAACCTTTTGCAGAGCGACCTGCTTTTATGTACGGAATCAAAATGTTGGATGTCAACTTTGCTGAGAACACTAGGGCCGTAGTGGAACTGGAGCACTTAAATAGGACTCAGTTTACTCTAATCTTGAAGACCCTTCACGACACAAAGATGTACGGACTCGGTGCGACCTGGATGGCCTGTCCTTAACCTAGACTTGACCCAAGTTTTAGAATACCATACCTCAAAAATAGACGAAATCATTGTACGTTGTAACGTAATATTTTGCAATATACATGTATAGAGTCATGATTTTTTTCTGTATTGAAGTCTTTACTTGTTTATTTATATAGTATGCATATACTTACCGATTAGATATCTTTGTTTAGAAAGATATACATGTATATAATACAGTTATATTTGATTAAAACTATACTCTTTGATCTATAGCTGCGTTCGTCCACAATTTTACGTTTCAAAGCTTATGGATTTTCATATATAATGTAACAATTCTACCTTTTTAGGACACACGAGTCCCTTAGGTGACCTCTGGTATCTGTTGTTTCAGCACCGTGCAATCCTTTTGTCATCGTGCCTCGTGCTTAACTTTTGGGCAATATATTTTTAGCTTCCTCAAGCGAGAACCGCTGATTTTCTTAAACTAATTTTGGTGTATAACACCTATGGACAAAGGGATACAAAAAGTGTGAATTTCATAGTCTTTGACCTCTGGAGTCCAAGGTGTGGGGCTTAATCCATAAGAATTAATGCAGTCTTCAAAAATCTTTTTTTTTTGACTCGATCCGAGAAATCAAGTACTCAGACTGTTGAAATGACTCTGTTAGCATAGAGCCTCATTTTTGTAATTTAAAACTTCTGGCTCCTGGAAAAGAGGTTCTGATGTTAAGGTATTTGTTAATCATTTAGCGAAAATACTTTCTTCTCTGCTCTTGAAAATCCATCTGATAATTATAATAAAGGGTATGTTTAAAACGAACATTAAAAAGCCATTTTAACATTCAAACTGATCTCTGCGTCAGTTTTAGTTACCATAATGATGTGGATACACTAACTAACGGTTTTCAAATGCCAGTGAGTACAATTAGTCATGGAATCATTGGCAATTGAAACTTGTTAGTGAAAGACAATATTTCCGTGCATTTTTTTGGCCTTGTAGGTATAAATCTGCATCTTGCTGAACTTCATTTTCCTCTCAAGCTAGCCAGTACTACTGTGCTTTCTTTATGTATTAGTTTGTCAATGAGCTGCATTGATTTGAATTCTTGGTGGGTTCCATCTAAGCTGACTCGTATTCTGAATTCATGAACTTAACAATCATCCTAACAAAAAAAAGATATTGCCTGGTCCAGCAAGTTTTCAACCAAGCTTATCTTTACTCCTTACCAAAATATGACCAATTGAAAAGGAAAACTTTAGACTTAACTATGCTATAGCATATTCTAGAAGTAGTGTAAATCAGATGCGGATCCTCAAAAACCTTTGCACAGCTTTTAGAAAATTCAATTTCACAATTTTTTTTTATCAAAGATTATAACTTGAACGACTTTTTCTTTTTACACTTTAAGCAACCATTTATCACGAAAAGATGAAAATAGGCTTTTAATATCATAAACTTCGGCTTTTACATTAAAAAACGGAATTTTAAAATATTCATGTCTTGTGTTTGGTGAACAAAAAAATTACTTTGCTAGAAAGCACGTTGATTCTGCACATAAGTACATGTACTCTGATATTAAAAGAAAACTGGAATTCCTCTTTGACAATATTTACTGTATATAGTCTTCGGAGCCTTCCAACAAAGTATTTGAATTCCGATGGGCAATAATAGTCCTTCTCAATCTGTAAATTCCAACCTGTTTTTATATTTTGAAGCAAAATTTATTTAAAATTTAATCTACTAGTATATGACAAAAAGAAAACACTTGTCGTGGCTTTCAACTCATCATTCAGATAATTTGATGACGCTTTATAAATTAACTACAGTTATTTCCATTCATATATTGACTTGATTAATCCCAGAGGACTTGAAATAAAAGACAGCAAAAAAGCCTGCCAACTCATTTTCATATCTGGATGTTATACTGACTATAGGCTATAAAGGCCAACTACCAAGTAAACTGCATGAAAAACAAGATGACTTCAGGTTTTCAATTCAGCTCTCTATCTTACAGTATTTATGTAATAATATTCCGCTATCATTTGCATATGTTTTTTTTTATGTCTCCAAACACATTTGCTTCTCAAGAGCATGCTCTGAGTACGAAAACCTTGTAAACCGATGCAGGCTACGCACAAACACATTGATATTACAGGGATTGCAACAACTCCATTTCAAGTCACTATTTCGTAAATTCTTTCTGACATTGTTAGCAAATGTAACTTATCATTTGGTCGTATTTTGTTTCGTAGTAAGCTAGGTCTGTATTTTTATGCTAAATTTGACGGAATGTTCCATCACATGATCAATACAAAGAGCTCACGGCAGATGTGACTAGTCAACAGGGGATGCATATTCAGAAATGTGAACCCAGCTATTGAATTTCCGATGGTCTGTGTTTATGCTTTGTTCACAGATTTGAATTGGGTATTGTTTTTATGATATCGATCTCTGCTCGTTACTTTAACAATTTTTTTTAATAACCGGGTCGAATCATCTGACAATTATTTTTGTTTTTGTTTTCAAAAAGGTTGTTCCAGTCCTAATATTTTTTTATCTTTTGAACAAATTAGCTTTAAAAATGGCGTCAGTTGGACATAATTTATTGCTTCAAAAGATGTATGCTTAATGTCATTTTCCTCTTGCAGCTTACTATAGAATGCATGAATGAAATATTAAAAAAATGCCAAGGGCCATGAAAAACCATCTATGAGCATATAGCACATCATCTCTCATGAAACTACGAACATTAATGGAAAGGATATAATTATAAGCGTCAATGCACCATATTAGTATTGAATCGATGTTCATTTCACCTACTAACTAGAGCATCTTTAAATTGGGCTATACACAATCTGTCAAGAGAAGCCATTAACGGATATTGTCTAGAAAAATATTAGCAAACAATTCATATTGTAAAATTTGACAGAACAGTCCCCCAAGACATTTCTTTATGGTACATAACATGCAGAATTCTCAGTACTTCAGTTGTCCTAGCGATATTTGGTAAGGTAAAAATATTTCTATTCTGATTTTATCAAACATTCCTTGAAAAGAATTGCAAATTACAGGTTAATTCTTATAAATCTGAAGAAAACAAATGTGTTAAATTTTGCAACTTAATTTTTTAAAGATATTTCAATGAAATGAAAGATAATTTTTCTAAAATGGGTATGTCCCTCAACTTTGCTTGGATTTAGATAGAGAAATGTTCTTAGCAGACAGGACAAAGATTTTTAAACTTTGGTGTTTTACAGTATGTAAAATATAAATTCTTAAAATGTGATAAATAATAAAAAAGGTAATTAAGTAATTTTCTATTTTAACGCAGATTGGTGATGTTCTAAGTCCAAGTCATATACAACATCTGCGTTAAAGGATTATACAAAACAAAGTAAAGAAAAGTTAATTTGAACATATTAACAAAAATTTATTTACAATATATCCAAAAGTAGGATTCTTAGAAAGTTTCAGCAAGTTTCAGCAAGTTTCGACAAGTTCCGAAATTAGTAAAAATTTTCTTAATAAAGTATTTTTATATAAATTATATCTAATTACTTCAGTATCACACACCGCCAAAAATACTGTCGTACATGTAATATATGCAACTATTATGAAATATTTCTTTTAAATAGTTTTGAACTGCATGTATCGCCTAGTCTAATACAATTTATTTAGCATAAAATTCTTTTTCAGAAACATGAGGACTCAGAGCATTAACAGAAGTTTGTGTTGTGTGATTTTAGTTCTTGCCATATGTAAGCAAATGTACATATATGTAGTTTTCCTTTGATTTTGATTTTTAAATCCGTATCTCAATCTTAGAATGATAATGTCAAATTAAAATTAATGTATAAAATTTGCTTTTTTCCCCAGACGATGTTTTTAAGTTGGCAACAGCAAAATGTAAGTATATTCTTTAATTAATCTTACAGCAAAATGTAAGTTGGTTGATAGTTTTTATATCACTATATTTTTTTTATAAAGATGTTCATTGAAATCTCTTTGCGAATTAAGAATACTTAATTCCGTCTTTTTCTCACAGGTGAGTCGGGGGAGGTTGACATGTATCAATACCCAGAATCACCTTTCCCAATCAACAAGACCATAACATTCAAAGAACCATTTTCAGCTACACCGTCTGTAATGTACGGAATAACAATGATCGATATAAACTACGCCGAGAATAAACGAGCTAGGATAAAGCTTTTGGGATCCAATGAGACGGAATTTACCGTGTGGATGGGAACGATGCATGACACGAAACTGTTCGGTCTAGGCATGCGCTGGATGGCTTGCGATTAAGATGAAAAGAAAGAGACAAGTTCTTTACACTTGAAATATTTTCTGAAATCAATTATGGTTACTTTTTTCATATTAAAATGTGGAAATCTAATAAATCTAATAAATCTAATAATGTTTAGAATTTTTCCTTTCACTTTTAGCACTTAATGAAGGATATGGAGATAACGAACAGTATTCAATATCAAAGTCCATAAAACAATACAAAATATATAGGAGCAGAGCAAACACGGACCTCCAAAACATCGGAGGTGGGATCAGGTGCCATGGAGGAGTGAGCATCCCTTGCTGACCGGTCACATTCGCCGTGTGCTCCTTGTCATGATTTGGAAATAACGGAAAAAATCCGTCGTCAATTCAGGGATGATAATGGACTAACAATAAGTATGAAAAACGTCAGTCAGCATTTGACTCAATGATAAATTGTATTTGCTGACAAGGTCATTGTATCGACCAAAGAACTTTCGAAATGATGACTTTAAGCGAGACTGTTGATATTCTTGTTTCATCAACTTGTTTGTCAATAATTTACCTCGTTTTAGAAATTGTTCATACGTAGAGCATGCTTTTGCGTATCGAATCAAGTGAGATACTGGTATATATATACGCCGTATGCAGGTGAGGAAGGTTTATTGCTGCATAAGTAAAGGAAGTTGACAATAGAAAAGTTAAAGTCATCACGTAATCCTACATTTGGAATCTCTAAGGTTAAGTATTAACAGATTTGTATTGATTAGCTTATATAATAATATGCTTTCTTTGGTTGTTAGTACGGGGGTTAATATCGCAACTGTTGCCGAAAAATTATACATAACCCGCCTAAGCAACAGCTGCGACGTTCATTCCCGTTCTACGTGTAACAAAGAAAGCATTTTATATACACCTGTATTTAAAATCATTGAAAGTAAAACTAAATTTGTTAGATATTGTATTTATGATGAATATATCATTGTATGCATATGATGGAACAGCCATTATTCAAGAAATCTACAGACATGGCTTGCCTAGTGTTGTTCATTTACCAATTAATGGCAATGTTCCCCATAACAAAGGAATAAAATATTGAATGGATGTTAATATAGATGAACTTTAGATAGATATAACTGTTTTTGATATTACATTTTTTTTAATTTCCAAGGAATTCTTAACAGTTACTACGAACACTGTATCCATTACTTCATAAAATTCGCTTAAGGTAGGTCACTCGTCAGCATTTGTAAAAGTTCTCTCAGAACCTCTTTCTTCAAAACTATTTATCAAAATTCAATTTTTATAACTAATTTACTTTCAACAATGTTAATCTTTTAACATTCAACGAAAAAACTGCTCAAAAAGCTATAAAGGAGCAAGATTTGCGAGGGACTATTTTTTGTGGTGGAAGGATATTTAGCAGATAATTCTGCAAATCTGCACATTTATTAAATTTAATATCTTGGAACTTTAGCCTCACATATTTTTACTCGGAGAATATTTTCCATTATGATATTGCTAGGAATATTAAATATAGGTCTTAATTTATATTTTTAGAACAAGTTTTACACCTTCCTTCACCAAACTTTGCCAAAAAATGAAGATATGTCAAATAAGTCAATATAAAATTTACACGATTTATTGCCTGAAAATCATATATTTTGACCAATATTTCAAAATTAACATCACTGACCCAAACTTTTTCTTTCATTATTTTAAAGTACTCGATATTTGTGACTGATCAGCACTTAAGTCGTAAAAGGCTTGATTTAAGAAAATGTTTTATTGCCTATTTAGTTTTTTAATACCCCAAAATGTTTTACTTACGACGGCGTATTCGTGCCATTTTAACAATGTAGAAATTTTTTTTAAAATCGTTTGAACGATTTAAGAAAACGTTTCTACGATTTAATAAATCGTTTGTACAATTTAATAAATCGTTTGTACAATTTAATAAGTCGTTTGTACGATTTGTTTGTTAAATCGTTTGTACAATTTATTAAATCGTACAAACAATTTTTTAAATCGTACAAACAATTTTTTAAATCGTACAAACGTTTTCTTAAATCGTAAAAACGGTTTCCTAAATTGTTCAAACGATTTATAAAAATCGTACAAACTATTTTAAAAAATCGTATAAACGATTTAATAAATTGTACAAACGATTTAATAAATTATACAAACGATTTAACAAACAAATTGTACAAGCGATTTATTAAATTGTACATACGATTTACTAAATTGTAAAAACAATTTATTAAATCGTACAAACGACTTATTAAATTGTACAAACGATTTATTAAATTGTACAAACGATTTATTAAATTGTACAAACGATTTATTAAATCGTACAAACGTTTTCTTAAATCGTACAAACGATTTTAAAAAAAATTCTACATTGTTAAAATGGCACGAATACGCCGTCGTAGTTACTTTTTAGTGCAAAAGGACACATAATAATTTACGCGCATAAATTTGCAAGATTTTTTCAATGATAAATATTATTCAAAACATTTTACGTAAAATAAGATCACATTTTTTGCCATGATTACATCTGATAAAATATAATAAAGTTTTAAGTAATTAACCAAAGAGTTAAAATTTAAGTGCAAAAAGGTCAACTTCATTGTACCGTAGATCAGTAAGATGAACAATTGACCCTCTATTTTCTTTGCGATTTTGAGTCACTCTATATGAGTACTTATCCAAAATATACTTCTCAATAAATCCTTGATTTAACAAATTTCACGAGTGACATACCTTAAGGTACGCCGATCCTCAGGTTCTGAAAATCAGGCAATGACTGAAAATATTCACAAAAATGTCTCTGAATTCTCGAAGTAAAGTTTTCGATAATTCTCCAAAATCAAATTATATAGGGAAAATATGGAATTTTCAAATGAATTTTTAGTAAATGCGAAATAAAACATCTACTATGCCTTTTCCAGTTTAAATTTGATCAATAAACATATTTTAGAAATAAAATTCAAAGGTATCCAGGCTTTTGAAGAAATTGCACAATTTTTATACATATAAGGTACTTTAGTTTCTTCTATTTAGTTCGATCATTTTACAACGCATAGTGTATAAAGATTTTCCTATCATTACAAAACACTATAAATCACTTCTTATTTCATATTAAGTTAATAACATTGGTATTTTGGTTAGATTAAAAAAAACTCATTTTTTTGAAATATGCCATTATAAAATACTATTATGGATTAAACATTTCGACTTTTTATAAGACCTTTCTGAGAACTTCAAAGAACATTGAAGAACATTGAGAGGCATAAAATGAAATTTATTGCATGAAAAGATTTCAATTTCAAGCTTCATTTTGGGACATTTTGATTTAAATTATAAATTAAAGAGTTATCCTTCCTGACTGAGGATCGGAGTTCCTTAAAAGAAAAAAAAAACCATTGTCCAACAAATGCCCTACTAACCCTTTCTTTACTCAACACAAAATTAATGCTTGCTGAAAAGGAGAGACTTCAGATGTACTGTGCTACAGCGTTTTCTAGAAGTGAGGTAAATCGAAGCATATACTAGTATTCTCCTAAGCTTCAAATAACTTTTTAGAAAATTCTTAATATTTTTTTTTGAAAAGTCAATAACATCTCGATAAATCTAAAAATAGGAATTTTAATTTCATAGACTATTGCTTCTCCAAAAGAAATGAAAAAAAAAAAGAATGAAACATTTTCAAATCATTTGATTGCTCTTCTGGTCTTCAGCAAAATCACTTTGTTAAAAATCACTCTGTACAAACAAGTACTCTAAAGTTGATTGATTGATTGTATATTGTTTATCGTCCCTCTCGAGAATTTTTCACTCATATGGAGACGCCACCACCTGCCGGTGGAGAGCTGCAAATTTTGTCCTATACTCGGCACTCAGGGCCATTGAGCAGGGAGGGACCCTTTTCAACCAGTACCTACTTCGACACGGGACCTAGGTTTATATGGTCTCATCTGAAGGACCGGTCTCCACGTCCCACAGTGGGATTCGAACCCACGACGTAAGGATTAACTCCTTACTTCGCAACTCCAGAGCAGACGCTCTAACCACTGCGCCACGCGGGCGACCTCTAAAGTTGATATTAAGAGGATACCATTTGTTTTTTTAACAACATGTATGTAGTATTTGGAGACAATACAATCCAACAAACTGTTTATTTAAAAATAAATCGTAGATAAAACAGATAATAACAAATTATCATCACAAATTACTGTAGTTTTTCTGCATACTGATGAATTTATTGAAATTCTTCTTAAGAACAAATAGTAAGATTGCTTAAATTAGGCTCAACATGAAAAGTTAAAAAAAAAAACATGAAGTGAAAGAAAGTACCGTGATAGATGTTGATCATTCATAGTCTTCAAGACGTAAAGTATTGAAATCATTTGAAAAAACAAGACACGAAATAAGTCTACATATTATTGTTTATATTTTACAAAGATTTAATGATGGTTCTAATAGACAAGATCAAATGTAACAATTTAACATTTCCAACCATTGATTATTTAAAAAGCAATACTAAAAATTAAAAAAAAAAATCAACATGCACTTAAAGAAACTATTCTTTGAGAATTTATGATGAATCTAAAGGAATCTTTAAAGAGTGCTGTTAGAGATGGGAATGAGAATATTTGGGATAACATAAAAAATAAACTTCCTAAAAACATTCAAGTATATTAGGTAGTTATAATTGATATAATCTAATATATTTCCATTTCCAATTGTTTTCCCTATGAAAAACACTACGAAAGTGAATTTTGTTAATTTCTCCGTGATTCCTGTGGCATGTAAATTTCTCTATTACTACTGAAAGGTCAAACGTCAACCTGCATGTATATATCACTGGAGTATAAATACACTAAAGAAAAATATTTTTTTTTTAATTGTTTACTAAGTAATTAGATATGATATATCTTTTAACAAACAAAATAAATAATGAATCATCTTCGGATCAAAAGCAAGTCACTAACGCAACGCTGTCCACTTTCACCGAGGTCTCGCGAGACCGAGAACCCCACTTCCGTAAACATAGACATAGTAAACACCCCATCTGAACCACGGTGCCTTACCACGTGGAGAAATCGGCATTGCCACATAGATCTTCTCTCCATCATCTGATACAGACATCGTCCCTCAGTCATTACCATCCGACTTCTTAAGCAACTCAAATTCCTCTGCTATTTTAACAACCACACAAATCTGTTTCCTAACTATGCTTAGTCTCGTTTTCCCCAGACTCTCGCTCTCGAGGGAGTAGGGTGGTTTCGCGCCGATTACGTGTTCGCGCCGAGTGGTATCGCGCCGGGTGGTTTCGCCCCGTTTATCTACAGGTATATACAGGTAAGGTTAGGTATTGGTAGTATACAGAAGAATGTCAGACTGCTCGGCCCAACGACACCTCGGCCCAACGATACCTCGGCCCATTGACACCTCGGCTCCGACGGCTCGGCCCAAATTTGCAGACAACTCGGCTCACATAAAAGACACCTCGGCCCAAACAGAAATATAATATTTTAGTTAAATATATTTATTATTTATGCTGTTATATATCTATAAAATGCAAAAGAAAATTAATTTGATACATTTGCAATCTTCCAAGACGGCAAATTGACGGTAATTAAAGAAAGACAATCCATTAGTAACTTGTTCATAAGTGCTAATCATTAAACAAACAAGACGCGGTGCCTCCTTTTGGAGTCTCGAGCGCGTGTCATATGGGGTGGTGACTATGAGGAGTTAATTACGAGAAGCCATAATTTGGAGACTTATGTTAATGAAAAGTTTCTTTAAGAAACCCTTGTTGATATTTTATTAAATTGATTTGAAAAAAATAGGCCTATGATTTTTCAAAATTAAGCAGTAATATATATATATATAAAATAAACAATTTAAATCAATAAATCTTGAAAACCAGGGCATAAACTTCTGTGTAGACCTATTACATGTACCTCCCAATCAACGGATTGTAATTTGATGTTGTGCTGTGGTTAGTTAGAAAATAGTTAAATACTGAAATATTGAAATTATCGTATATTTATAGTATACGTATAGTGATTAAATATACATAGTACATTACAATACCGTGGCATAGAAAGTAAAAAAAAAATTAAACTAATTTAAACAAACTAAATTTAATTTTATTCCTAACGGGCCGAGCAGTCTTCGGTATGGGCCGAGGTGTCAATGATTTTGAGCCGACCTGTCAGGGCCGAGGTGTCAACCAGCACGGGCCGAGGTGTCGTTGGGCCGAGTAGTCTGTCTACCATACAGAATGCATGGCTTCCCCCGATTATTGGTAGTATACAGAATGGCTTCCCCCGATTACCTGTAATTACATAAACCAGTAGCCTGTTATTAATGAACCCCAAGCGCTAATGTCATGTTGTGTTGAGTAATTATCCCATTTTCTAGTACAAGTAACTCCTTTATTGAGTCTATTTTTTTTTAACCAAATTATGACTATTTGATCAAATTTGATCGTTTAATTTGGAATAATTTAGGATTGGATGTCAAAATATAATTTTTGTTGAAATATACTATTTATTTCTGTTGAAATATACTATTTATTTCTGTTGAAATATAATATTTATTTCTGTTGAAAATAATATTTATTTCTGTTGAAAAATAATTATTATTTCTGTTGAAAAATAATTATTATTTCTGTTGAAATATAATATTTTTTTCACAAATATCATCTTTTCAATGAAGGTTGTCATTGTTTTTCAATGAAACTTTTCTTTGTAGTATTGTGTATATTGTGTATATATTTGAAAAACGCACGACTTGCCTCTCATCATTATTTATAATTAATCTGCTCGTCGTTAATGATCAAACGATAATCAAATGACTACCCGATAAGCGGTATCTTCAGTAGTTCAGCGGCGCGAATCCACGAGGGGCGAAACCACCCGGCGCGAACAAGTTATTGGAGCGAACCCACTCGGCGCGAACACGGAATGGGAGCGAAACCACCCGCATTCCTCTCGAGACTTCGGCAAAGTCTCGAGAGCGAGAGTCTGGGGAAAACGAGACTAGACTATGCTGACCACTCCCGTCTCATCAACTGCACTGCATTCAATATGGCGGCGGAGAAGTGACATAGGGCCTACACACGTGTTCGTGCTTCCAACAACTTAAATCTAGGTCACATATATAATTAAAGTTAACAAGATTGCTTTGATCATAATTTAAAATTCTTTTGTTGTTTATTTTGTAAATATTGATATTTGACTACAGTAACTAAATAATCAATAAATTTGTTTCGTGTTTTTATGGGACTATTTTTTTTTATAGTAAAATTTGACGTCATGGGGCCCGTGCATTTCAAATCTACTAAATTAGACGGTATTTCGATTTATTTTAAGATTGTTATTTCAAGTAGAAATGGAAATATAAGGAATATATATAAGCCCGTTATGCTACAATTATCCCATGTTTCCCACTATTGTTGATGTCCCTGGCATACTCTCCTAACTAGACAGTAATTCCTTAAATAGATGTATTGCAAATTTGAGATGTTTTCCCTTGTTTAATATATATTTAGATATGTCAGAATAAAAAAAATATATACCGTTACTTTTAATTATTTACAATCAAGTATGCCTTTATTTCTTTTTTTTCTTATTTACTTCTCCAAAATTACCAAAACAAAATATAACAAGAATAGATATGGGTTACCCCATATCCAAAGATATTCGACTTTTAGATTTAATATGTTTAACAGTGTTTATAATGACTTTAATTAAAAAAAACTGCGGTATAATTATGGAATTGGTGTAAATTTCGTGAGTCCGTAGCATTACGGTCACCCAGTCTCCTAACAAACAGTACACATACCTGTGTCCGCAAGACCAACATTAGCCTAGGTCTACACACGTGCGATGGAGTTGTCAAACGCATCCAGCGAGCTCGGAGAAACACGTTTTGTTTTGCCGAGAAGTTACGATGGCAGACAAAACTTTTCTTTTCTTAATTAGATCATATGGATTAATAAAAATTATACAATCCCTGTTGACATGGTTGAACTATAGTTTGTTCTATCATTTGCATCTGCAACAACTTGTGTTTAAAATGGCCGGGTTAGGAAAATCTGGAGGGTTTCTAAACTGAAAACCTTTTTTTGTTTTGAAAATTACTGAAATATACTAATGTAATCGTCGCAGAAATTACTTACATAAAAGCTCTATATGAAATGGTATGCTGAACAACACGAATTATGTTTTGCTACACATTTTATACCCTACAGTTTACCAAGTGTACACACGAGCAGAATCCGGCCAGGGATTAAATATTCCATCATTTAATAAAACACACACACAGAATGATTAATTTTTTCTTTAAGAAGAAATTGTATGATAATTAACGGACTATAAACATGTACTTAATACAGTTGTTGATATAGTATTATCAATTCATCGGTGAAAAGATATGAATCGAAGAATGACCTAAATATTCTCTGTTATCAAACATGAAAAAAAGGCTGAGGAGGGAGCGAGCGTAGGAATATTGATATTTTTTATTTGCATTTCGGGGGGAAAGTGATTTTCTAATAATATTTTGACGTTGTTTTTGATTTCTTTAACGTATGACATACACAACTTCACTCTTATCATGAACAATTATGTTGTATCTACTGAATCATGATGGAACTATTTTGGTCGGACCAATTTGTGTGAGCCGCCGCTGACTACAGTAATATATCTTGCATTAATAGTATGCACTGATCGAATATATTAAAAATAAAATCAGAATGCCGAAAGTGAAATTGTGTTTGTTTTAGATGAATAAATGAAGAAAAAACACATGTTTAAATGTCCAGGGGCTTAGCAACCGGGGGGCCAATACATTTTTTCCCCAACCTTACTTATACTATAGGAAATGTTAATTGAAAGCTTGGTTGGCCCCCTCACCTTTAGACTTTTAGAAAATGTAGTATTAGAATTGGTACTAAAACTAGTTGACACTGAGAAAAGGTTTACCCTAAAAAATAGGATTTTCGACTTTGGGCAACTTTTAAAAACTTTTTCAGGTAAGTAAAAAAATTTTTTTTCTCCACGTGTGTGGTAGGAATATGGAATTTAAAATGCCGCTCTGTAGGTGTGATAAATATGGAGTTAGTGGAAAAACAAAAGACTGGTTCACACAAATGAAAAATTACATGCACCTAAGTCTACCGTTTACCGAGTTCATCCCCATATTTTCTCTTTTTTCAATACATTACAAATCTGGTATATAAGCTCTCATTCAATCAACTTTTTGGTTATCTTTAAATAAATCTCTAGATATGCAAGCAAGGAAATTTTTTATAAGGTTGGTATTTTATATATTATACAGGGTATTGATTTGTATAAATAAGAAAGTAAATTCTTGAAAAAAATATAACATACGTTTTTTTTTTTTTTCGTTTTTTTTAATTAAAAGCCCTTTTTGATTTTCGTTTGTTACCCAAAGAATAGAAAAAAATATCAGATAAACAAAGAAAGAAACGTTTATCAGTAATATTTTATATCAAATTTTTGTCATAACTCTCTAAAATTGCAAAACATTATAATTGTTCTTCATTTCAACGTTTCTTGACGTTTTCTGTGAGATAAAAGTTTGCATACAGACCTGTAGATGGTGATGTAATGAACAGGAATTTAATTAATCTTATAAAAGAAGTAATTTTATAAAAAGACACAAGAACAATCTGCAAACTTCGTGCTTAACATAATTACATTGAATATTGTGTGTTTCAGATTCAACCAATAGAAATCTAGATACTTTATTAAGTTAACACAATTCTTTTTAATTTCTTTTTCAGCCTTTTTATGTCTTTTTATGGCTTTATTTTTGTGATTTTTTTTTCCAGAAAACTGTTTGTGATAGGAACTAAACTGAAGGTAAACGCTTTAACATCATGTTTTATGTTTAAAAAGTAATTTATCTTTTAAATAAATTTTAAAAAAAAATAATGTTATGTTGTTTTAGCAAAGGACTATTTCTATCATAATTATGCAAAAGTTATAAGTCACTAGACAATGCTATAAATAATATGAACAAGAAAAAAAAGGCTTCTTGTACTGTTTCAAAGATTACAGTCCCTTTATCATCATCATAATCATCATCATCAGCGTCATTTTTTATTGTTTTACTATAATACTAGTAACGTTAGACTCTTTCCCATGCGTCTCAGTGCTGAAACTTTAATAGTCTTAGAAAAATATGGCAGACATTAAAAATATTATGATTATGTGGATGGTATTTAACACGAAGAATCAATTCTAAAAGAAAAAAAAAAGTCTCTTGTCTACTCTGATACGGGTAACATTAAACTCTCTTCGGTGTTTTCCGATGAAGTTATGGAAAATATCAACTTAATTCCTATTTTTTTTCTTTTTCGTAGATGAGCCCCTTTTCTGTCGATATCAGAATAGCTGCTCTACTCATGGTCATTTGTTATATTGGTATGTATCGTTTTATTTTTCATGCTTAACATATGATATTAATACTGGTCATGTTTTCCAATATTTAAGCCGTCTGTCATTTCATAACCATTATATAATTGAAGGGAAATTGACAACATATTTTTTCAAAAGAAAATAAATAAAAAATTGTGTTTTTATTTTTTATAAAGAGACGTAGAACATCAAAATCAAATAACGTTATAATCCAGTAGTGTATTCTCAGTTCTTTTTTGTAGGTAGTGCAACATCAACTTTATGTAAGTTCTTTAAAAACATTTATATGTGAACAATTGTGATCACTTCTTTGCTAAAAATTAAATACATGTATGTTTGTGTATTTTTGTTTTTGAACAACAGTGTATGTTTTCTTAATTTAATCAAAAGGTCAGGCAGGAGAGGTTAATTTCATGAGTTACCCGAAATCGCCATTTCCACAAGAAAAGAGGATAAAGTTTGAACAACCTTTCATAGAGAGACCAGTCGTAATGTATGCCATTAAGATGATAGACGCCCAATATAACACCAATACCAGAATCAAGGTCAACTTACAATGGGTACGTCCAGAGAGATTCTCCATCTTCATGACGTCAGCCTACGACAGTAAGCTGTTTGGTCTAGGGGTGTCTTGGATGGCCTGTCCATAACAAAAATATCATATGCCTTCCATTTAATAATTTTAAATATTCATAAACTCATTATTATTCATAATGAATCAATAGAACACACGTACATGTCATTATTATGTAAATAGTTTTATATATGCTTTGTAAATGATGTTGAGATGAAAATAAATTGATTTCTTTGTTGGTTGTGTTATATTTCTCATGCGATCTATAAAATATATAATCAATACAACTCAGTAAAGATAGAACACAAAAACTTATAGTCATGAAAAATCTAGAGTTGGGATTGGGTGCCTACGAGGAGTAAGCATCCCTTGTTGACCTAACATATCCGCCGTGAGCCCATATATTGATCATTTAGAGGGAACTTACCGCAGTCAAATTCAGTATAAAAACAAAGGCTCAAAAATTGGCATGAAAAAAGTCAGCCAAAATACGATCCAATGAATATATTTGCTAACAGGTTCTTTCAAACAACCCTAGAATTTACGAAAGAAAGACTTTGAACGAGGTTCTTGAAATCTCTGTTATATTGTAACCCCAACTTATCTGTCAGTAACCTGCATCAGTTAATAAATTGATGTTTCTCAAAACATGCTCTTAGGTGTCGAATCATAGTTTTGCGTTGTAAACACGAAATGTTATACCAATTGTTAGGTCTTTGTTTAAATACTGAATTTGATTAAAGAAACATCCATGTACCTAAACAATACAGAGCGCTCATGGGGTGTAACCATTCATCAAGGTAAACTTACTCCTCCTAGACAACAGCATTTCCAGGTTTTTGTGTTTTATGAACTCTTCACTGACATATCTGTATTGTTAAAAAAATTTGAGAGATTGATCGGTATCTTCACCTTTTAAAGTAAGTCACAGGTTTTGTTGCATTTGTATTACAGAAAAAATGTAAAATCATTTTGTATTCTACATGTAAAACATATCCAGATTTTAAAACAATGGCATTGACCTACCGTATGTCAGAAGTTTACTTAAGGACAGGTGATACAATTTTTATCCAAAATCTTGAAAATGACAGCTTTAGTTGAAACATGCTCTTAAGTATCGAATTGCAAAATGAATAAGTTTAACCGCTTGTTGTTAACTCTTCATATAAAGTTTAACAATAAAGAGCTTTATAAAGCGACAAAATTGTATACATTTGTATGAAAAAAGGAGGTTGAATTTTGAACAGCTGGAAAATTCTACAATCTTTTAAATATTTTAGGAATTTATTTGTTTGCACTATATTTACAACCAGAATTAATATTGGTCCAAGAATATATATCAAGTCAGTCATCAAGTTTCTTTTTATCTATATCATATAAATTATTTCAGGTGTGAAAAATACTTCTCTTTGTATTTTGTAAACAGTCCTGTCGTCCGAATGTGACATAGGATGTAAGAGAGGGGTGCAATGAAATGTAGACACATCAATAACTATGATAGAAGAAATCTGTCCATTGTCTTAAAAGAGCTGTTAATTATGCACACAATGACACGCGCTAAATTTGTTTCTAATGTGAAAACATATAAACTTGAACTTTAAATTCATTTATAATCCTGTTCTTGTATTTCCTTGCCAAGATCTTGTTACCTGAGCTATTAAACAGGAATGTAGCATCACTTTGAAGGGAGTTGAGTAACAACAACAACAAAAAATGACACACCTAAAAAAATTTGAAAAATCACCTCTTCCAAATAAAAAGGAACTTGTTTAACTCCAGAAACTATCTGGTGGTGGCGGGGATTTCAACTTACTCTTACCGACATGAAACTGTTGATAACATTACATTAATATACTCCGTTTTATCATTAATATACTCCGTTTTATCATCGATACCTCAACGAAAGGGGATTGATTGATTGTTGTTTAACTTCCTTCTCGAGAATTTTTTTTCATTCATATTGGGACGTCACCACTTGCCAGTGGAAAGCTACATTTTTTTTCCTATCCTCGGCACTCAAGGCCATTTTGCAGTGTGGGATCTTTTTCGTGCCTACTTCAGCTCCACGTCCCAAATGATCGGTCTCCACGTCCCACAGTTGGATTCGAAACCGACTCCTTACTTCGCTACTCTTTAGCAGACTTTCTACCCACAGCGCCATGCGGGCGACCAACAAAAGTAGAAAGGGTGGGGTTTTCGGTTAGAATCAATCTGAATTAAGACAGTTTCTACTATTTCACTTCGTTTATTGGGAAGTAAAAAGGAAGGACTGGCTTAAGGTAGACTGGGTGTAAATTAATATCGAGAAAAAAGTGCCAAAAATGTTAAAATTACTGGTATATAACGTAATAATTATTACATGTAATTAGTAATTACGTTTCTCCTGTCAATCAAAAATAGAAAAATCGGACCCGTAGATGGCAATGTCAGTTTGTGAAGGTGAACCTTACATTTTCAGTTTTTGGTACTTCCAAAGAAAAACTGTCTGGTTGCAAAGGATTTATATCTACATAAGAATGAACTCATACTAAAAGTATCATTCATGAATTTCTGATCAAAAGGGGGCATTTAGCATGGCGTAAGCTTTTTAACTACGGCCTCATGTGTCCTCCGGGGCACGGAGAGGATAAGTAAGTAAGCTTTTTGAATTAATAAAAATGACACAAAACCAAACTCATCACACTCCAGCACGTGATATTTTGTACATGTGTTTTGTTAAAAAGCACGTATACTTTTCATCCTGCTAGTGACCTACTACACATAAATGAAACATGGAGATGGCAATCCGTATTCAAGCTCATAGTCCATTTAAACAATGCAAATTACATGTAGTAGCAAAGCAAGCGCTCTTTAGTATGTCTGAAGTAAAGTATGTATAAAAGTTTTTATATCATCAAGGACCTATATACTAACAATATCCACAAAAATATATTTTCCATAATTTCATAATCTGTAAGAATAATTTAATTTTCGTTGTAACACGTCATTTGATTGGATAAAAGATTTAATACGTATAACATAAGATGACTACGTAACAATGAGTTATCTCAAAAACGTATTACTCTGCACGACGTTACTTCTAAAATTTGCTCAATTTGAAGCCATTTTTGGAGGAAAAATTGTCTTATTGTCCACACTGGAAATGATTTATAAGGAATGAAGCTTATTTTAACCTATGATATACAATTTGGAAATAACATAACTTGTGGCAGTTTAAGCTTTTTCATAAACCGCTTTGCAAAAATAAGCTTCATTCCTTAATTTTAAAAATCTGTAAAAATAAAGAATTTGATTGAAAACAGGAAATAATCAGAAATAAAGCTTTCAAATGTTGATAATCAAGATACGCTTTACATATGTAAATTTACACGTTATTAAAAAAAACAATAATGTGCATATATTTTAAATATATTTATTTGCATAACAATGATCAAAAATGATTAGATTTAATAAATCACAATGCTTTGAACAAAACATATAATGTATAATTAACAATGTCTGCACTTTTACAATTATGTAAAAAAAAACATGCACACTGGGTGTTTGAAGCAAATTCCTCTTTGAAAAATATTCATCAAAGTGATTTTAAACAAAATTTTACATCACAAAAATAATTTTTTTGTGTTTCAAAAATTGTGTAAACATGAATCACATAGTGTAAGGTTTATCGAAAGAACAGCTTCTTCCTAAGGGTTACCAGGGGGGCAGGGATTTGTTTGTAGACTCCACCCTCCAAACGAGCATTGGCTCTCCCTACCTCCTCATTCACTTTGACCAAGATACTCAGCAGGTCATATCTGAAGAAAATTGGAAGTATACTATTAAAAACAACAGATGCTAGAGAACTGAAAAGCAGTACAAGTAGTATAATCTTCCAGTTTTTTATCATTAATGAGTGAAAAATCTTATCATCCTTTTTTCTGCATCAAATCTAATTTTCTACCTTATTTTGATCTATAAAAAATCATGAGACCTACCTGTAGGCATATTTATCTAACATCTCCACCAGTTTGTTGACAAACCAGCTTCCCTGTGACCTACTTCTGTAGGACACGTACCCTGGTACAGTGGCACACCCCAGTACAAAGTCCGCCTCATCGGGGATCATCTCAGAGGTCCGGCCATTGTCCGGTTCAATATCACTGTCCATCTCAATGTCAATACCTGAATGAAAAATTATCGAGCAGGTTGTCAGGTAATTATGAAATTGCAAATATTTGTAAGATTTTAATTATAAGAAAAAATCTTAACAGTTACCTCTTTATTGATGTATTATAGTCTGTAAATGTTTAGACAAGAACTTTTACCTCCTTGTTTTTCCCTTCCTTGACATGCCTGAATGAAAAACAACTTTGGTTTTCCAGCCAGACTTGGACACTTCCCAGATCGGAATATTCCCGTTAACTCGGAGATTCTGACCAATCTACCATTAGTGCCATAAATGTTCTGCAGGACACCATGGGACAAAATACAGCACACAAAACAGTCAAACTGAGAATGGTCTTCAAAGGACACCTCAACAAGTCTCCTGTTCATTGCATAGTCCTCTAGATTGTCATAACGTTTCACACGGAAGTCAAGTTTACGGAAAATGTAGGTTAATTTATCTGTAAATTATGAAAATTTCAATAAATGCCAATAAAATTTTTCCCATTTTAAATTTACAAGTGGAATTTCTTATAATGCTCATTAAAAAGGGTCTTTCATGAAATTTAGAAACCAGATAGAATATGCACCTGCATCCAGGTCTGTGCCAGTTCTGTCTGGCATCTCTTTGCTTTCTGGATCGTTTGGCACTTTGAAAAATTTCATGTTGTTGATTATCAAAGCAATGCCTACAAAGGTAAGACATAACAATGTATTACGTACTGATATAGCGTTTTTGCCAAAGAGAGAGGAAGAGACAGAGAAATAGGAAGTGCACTTGCAGAAACGGTATATAAAATTCATTCTTTGTGATAAAAAGTCCCTTAATTTACTTTTGGATATATGTAGCATTTACTTTAATTTTAAAAGAAAAGAGGGGTCAACTCTATTAAGAAATGGATGGGCACAATTTCCAGGATTTTCTTGAGATATAAAGATGAATTTTCAGGCTTCACCTCTTGGTTTTCTGTCCATACGATATGACGGCAGATCCATCTCATCATCAATGTGTGCTCTATTCATCATCTGGCCTAGATTCTCCATTACATTACCTTAAAACATATAGAACCAACAATTTATAGAAACTTCTCATCAGCCATACAGTGATAAGGAAAAAAGTAGAAAGAAAATAAACAGTTTCTGGAAAGCAGCTTGTCTATTAGATAACAAATGTCTCTGATGAAGTATATACTGTATTTTTATTTACCAAGGGTTTAAATTTATTTCGCGATTTACCAGGGGTAACATTCAACATAACTATTTAACATAGATCTGATGAAGTAATTAACATATAAAATTGAACACAGAATTTACACACCCCTTATACTTCTCGCTGACTGAGCATTGTTGTTTTCTGAGGGAGGGGGATGTAACTCTGCAAGCTGTATCCTGGCCTCAGCTATCATATAATTAAATGTTATATTAAATGTTTAACCATTGCTATATATACATTTTATATTTTTCTCATTGAGAGAGAGAGAGAAGGAGAGAGAAAGAGAGAGAGATCAACACTGCAGTCTAAAGCTAATTAGAGTAAAAGGACTGCATTATGGAGCAGAAATTAACAATGGTTCAACAAAATAACAGTTAAATGTATCAAGCTTTCTGTGATGCAACATCCTTGTACTTTTTTAAAATGATGCTACTTATTACTTCAAATATTAACGATAATTACCTAATTATCTACATGTAAAGACATACATGTGCACTTCCTGTTTAGTTGTTATGCACAAATGTTTATAGCTTAGATAGAAATTTGCACTTACTGTTTGATACTGATAAATTTTCTTCGTTGTGGTCTCTGATAGGCTGGTTTCCATGAGGAAGAATCAACATGGAAGTTTGTGTCTCGATCTCAGACATGTTTGGTCTCAGGGCCTGGATATCAGGAAGAGGCTCCGGGGCAGGGTGTCTCAATGACAAAGGAATTTCCCCAGTCGGAGGTTGATACAAAGAACGCAAGTCCATTGGAGCTATAAATAATTCAACTCGTAAAAGCATTTCTTATTCTCAAGATTTCTCATGTAACTTTAGTTTATATTCAACATATATTGTTTTTGATAATGAGTCAGGTGTTTCAGTTTTAAATTATCATCGCAATGCTATTTTGAAAGCAGGAACGCTTTCTGATATCAACATTATCTAATTTTGTTACCATTTTAGTTACTGGATTGTACTTACTTGGGTTAGGAATGTGTTCGTCTTCCTCCACAGTTTGTCCCAGTATCTGCAGTCCCTCTGTAATTCTAAACTTCTGGAGGACCCCTATCATAGTCACGCGGCAAGTCTCGTCGTTCTGCATCACGTCTCTCTGCCAGTGCTGAAGCATCTTATATACCCTTAATGATGGCATCATGTTATCATCATTAACTAAAGCTAATATAGTCATGTCCTCCAAACCCAGAAATGGGGCCAAGTCTTTCCAGTCTGGACTTTTGGAAATAACATCAGCAAGTCTTATTAAAAGTCCATCTGCTAATGGAGCGGCTAAAACAATTAAAAGAATCAAATGTATCAAAGTCATTCAAAAATTTTAAAGAAACAATAAAATGTTATGTTAATTCAAAGAACTTCAGCCTACCCATGGCTAGTGTGGTGCCTTGTCCCATTGGAGGCAGCTGGGGTGGTGGGTGAAGTTGTGGTCCCTCTGAGGGCTCCACTTCCATCTGTGTGGGGCCAGTGAACTGGGATGGGCTATTCCTCTTACCTATCATGGTAATCAAGTTTATATAAAAAACATTACACCTGCACACATTGAATACTTAAACTACAAGCATGCACATTTAAAATTGTACTGTGAAAACCTAGTATAAATAATAGCAATATTTCAATGAATTTAAAGGAGATTTATGAACAAAAAATATTTTTATCAAAGCCTTGGAGCAAGAATTTTCAAATCCTAAAGTAACGATATAAAACAATAAATTGAAATTTACCATTAGTGTAAAAAGAATTTTTTGGCTCTATTCATACTTACTTTGACTGGAGAGGTATTTGTTGACTTTTGGTATAAGATCAGCCCTGTCAATGACTTTAAGCACTTTCAGTAAAACATCAACTTTCAAATGGGACATTTCATCTTTTTTCTCCAAAAACAGAAACAAATCAAATATGGACTTCATTTTAGAAAGCTGTCCTTTAGGAACAAGCGATGTAAGAGCAAACATCACTGAACCAAATTCTTCATCGTCAATGTCCTCTCCAATCTCAAATAGCAGCACTCTGAAGTAATAAAAAAATAGATCTTCGATTAAGTTTTTAACAAAAGTATTTCTGGTGAAATTGTTTTCATAAAAGTATGCATATTTTTACCAAAATCATGAAAATGTTACATTAATTTTTATCTATAGCATTGAAATAATTTTTATCAATATCAAAATTGTTTGTTTGTTTCAAATAAAAAAAATTCTACAATTCTTAAAATTAGGTCAGTTATCATTTTCACTGATACATGTAACAAATATAGAGAGATATCTCTATAAATTATCCCATCAGAGTTATAAATAATTCAAATGAAAGAAAATGATAAACATGTACATGCAAAACACTTTCAAAATCAACACCTATTACAGGATGGTTACCTGAAAGGTGACAAGAATTTGTTGGATTCCATGTAATTGACATCTTTTCTGTATATTTCTTCTTGTAGTCTCCGCAATCTTTGTTCCACCATTATGGTATCCCTTGCTATTTTCTTCAGTAAATCCTTCCTATGAATTCTATACAAACACTCCTCTAACAGTTCCAGGTCCCCTTCCTCCATGTCGATCACACCTGTGTTCTGGAGTTCATTAAATAAATCAAGACCTCTCTGGGCCTTCTGTAGCTTGGAGTCGGGGACTACACCTCTAAGTAAGAATTTAAGGTTTTCCACATCACTCGTGTCTAATCCATTGTCCACAGTCACTAGGAATTGCCCATAGTCAAAGCCCTTCTGGGGAACTGCATCTGGAACCAGTTCAGGGCGATCTGTCTCTATGTCATTCATTGTAACAATTTCTTGTATCACTTTCTTTTCAAAGGGTGCCCAGTTTAGTTATTTTCTTCAGAAGTAATGCATCTCAATATGAAACTGTTGATTCTCCTGTTTACTGAAAAAAACCCAGTGAAAACGTCAGCAATTAATCCTTATGACTTTTCCACTTCACAATATTTTTTGTATTCATTTTCTAACATAATATAAAAGATCTAAGATATTAATCATTCTATAATTTAAAAAAAAGGAATTAACCACATGTAGGTAAATGGTAGCTAAGTCACAGCTGATCTTGATTTTTTAGGCCTGAGCCAAAATTTGAGTTGTGCGCCTCTAGTCCAGGAACCAGGATTTCATACTCTATAAGCTACATACATATTGTATATTCAGTGAGGCCATGCTTGACAGAAATAAATCTATTCTTTTCTGCATTCAACAATATATCTGTTGTGCGTTTCCTTTCTCTATCTAATACAGGTATGGTTCAACTGAAGAGTAGTTTAAAATAGTTTTCTATTTCTATACATAGATATGAGAAAAAAAAATCTAAACAAAGTTTTTTCAGGATTGTCAAACCACTCATAGCTACAGAAGTTCATCAGAGACATTTGAAGAAATATCGATACCAGAGACATATAAAACAATATGATTTTATATGTCTCTGTCGATACAGAATTTGAGAATATCATCATACGAGTTCGACGGAAGTTTATTCGTTAACCAGCATCAAATCCCTGGAACTTCAAACATTTAGTATGAATATTTACTCTATTGAACTTAAAATTAAGTCTAGAACTCACCATTTTCGCTAACATATTCATATCTATTGAAAGATATAAAATTTTCAATGCACAGTTTGATAATCGGGGATTTCCATGGTTTGTACTATTTTTAGTAACAGAAAATGACAAGTCGTTCGCTTATTTTCTATGAAAAACATATCGATCCTGAAAATTTCGTTTTGTTAAATTTAGTGATAAAATAATACAAGACTTAAAAAATTCAACAATTTCAATGTCCACAAATATTTGTTTCACATACATTATAACTGATATACAATTATCTATGTAGATTATTTGCTTGTGTATTGTTCTACAGTTGTCGTTCGTTCCTTTCACAACCGTCAAACTGACGACGGGAGCCGATCAGACAGGCGCGGACAGAGTTGCAAATTGTTTTACATTTTGAATTTCTCTTTTCATTCAAAAATTAAACTCAATTCAATATATTGAATTTACATGAATATTTTAGATCTGATGTTCAGAGATTTCCAAAAACTGTCAAATTCAAATCTGTGTCAAGTATGTACATAAGAACCGTAATAATGTAGCCCTCTCCGATTTTTTTTTAATCTGATGTTTTCTGGAGAGGGTTACAATTCCACAGCATCTCTATAATGGTCCAAGTATTTTTTTTTTTTAAAATAGTGGCGACTGCAGGTAAAATAAATTGTTCATTCAATTTATTTTTTGACGCAAACAGAGATATTTTTATGCTTTTAAAAATAAAATAGGACAATTCCTAAAGGATCCTCATATAGAAACTAAATTCTCATTGGCTGTCCCAAAATACAATCTAACAAGGTCAGTAAACATGGAGAATAAATTCAAGTTGTGATGTTGACATACACGAAAATTAACCGATAGATGGATCGTTCTGTATAATTTTGGATTAATTTATGTCTTGGATAAGTTCAGGATAACTATGCATTTTTTGAGTCCAGTTAAGCCATTTACTGACAATTTGAGCCGAAATCCGTGTAGGAGCGAATCACTTCCGCAGCTGCACCATTACAGAGATCCTAAGGAGCTGTAGCCCCCCCCCCCTCAAAAAATAAAAAAGAGGGAGAGGGCTACATTTTTGCAACTATAATTTTTTACCCCACCCTCCGTAACTGAAGATTCGAGGTTGTTTAGTGTTTGCCCTGTCCCGGGCGTCCGTCTGTCTGTCTATAGATAGGTGTTTGCATGTTTGTCAGAAATACTTTAAAGTTGGGTATTCTTGCAAAATATTGGGCAAAACTTTAAGAAAAAAGCTTTATCAAAAGGAATACGCAAATGAAATATGAGAGCTTTAAAATAGCCAATGATGAATCAAAGAGGACAATGCAGGCAAACATACAAACAGGTATGACAGCTAGATAGACAGACAGACGGACATATGGCACTGAAATCCTATACCCCGAATCTTACCTGCTTTACTTAGTCCTCTGCATAGGGCTTCTGCAGTCGCTCTACTCTTATTCTGTTTTTGGCTGTTCTTATATGTATTTCCTCAATTTCTGAGTCATTCCAATGTTTTCAAGCTCTTTAATTCTTGTTTCTATCTTGTTCTCCTTTAAGTGCACAGTCCAATGCCTCTCTAATGTTGCTATTTCGGGGCTTTCTCTATGATTGTATGGCCAAACCATTTCCATGCTCGTTTCTTGATCTGGAGTGTGGTGATATATTAAATATCTATGATATAAAGCTACGGTCCAGTAGCTTTTTGTTGGATATTTATGTTGGCCATGATGCTACTTTACAGATGTGTCGTAGGCATTTGTTGGTAAAAACCTTGATTTTGTTGTAGTCCTGTTGTTAGTCTCCAGGTTTTACATTCGAAGAAAAGCACTGATCAATGAGTTAACATTGGTATGAAATATTCTGACCTTTGTGATTTCATTTAGTGTACTGGAACTCCAGACCGGCTTGAGCATTGCAAAAATTTGTCGGACTTTGCTTATTCTGGGTTAAATGTCTTCGTATGAACCACCTGTGTTACTAACGATGGACCCTACTAAGCAGGTACATGTAAATTGTACCACCTCTTCCAACCCCCCCACCCCCACTCAGTTGTGATTGTTCTCGTTCTAGTCTTGACTTTCATAATTTTTGTTCTTGGTACAGTTTATGGAAGTTCAATGGGGTCTGGTTTTCGAAATGTCTAAGTAAGGACAAAGGTAACAGCGGTTTACTGAGCAGCTTCTTGTAAATTTTGGGTTTTTCAGACAACTTTATTTTGTGTTCCTCTCTCTGGTGCATGCGCGCGTCGTTTGACTAATTTTTCGGCATGGTTACCCATGCTCAGTATAGCCAGGGTTCGAAAGATAAACATTCTGATGAATTCTATGCAAAGGAGAATCTAACTGTAGAACTGTAGCTCAGTCCCGGTCGGAAAAAAATATATTGACAGACCGGAGAGCTACAATGCCACCCATTGAAAAACTGTATAAAGTTATTTATTGCGCACAAAAAAGTGCGCTGTTCCTCGATTAATTTCTCCATGTTTTTAAAATTGTCATCACAGAATATTACTATCCGTGTGTCCTAACATATTCTTTCGCTGTTTCCACAACAAAACATTCCTTACATTTGTTTTTAATTCTGGCCCTATATAATTTTGGAAATTGAGATCATCGAAAATTTCGCCTATTTATACTGCCATTTTGGTTTGTAAGAAAATTCGGTCCAACGCGCTTCGTACATATGCAAACTACAAGAGTACTTGATAGAGCAGTAAGAAATTTTTTGAAATCTAGCTTTTTTTTGCAATTGAGGTAAAAGATTTAGAAGAATTAATCCAGAACACACTTTTTGTGCGCAATAAATATACAGTTTTTTTTTCAGTGGGTGGCACTGTAGCTCTCTGGCCTGTCAAATATATTTTTTCGGAGAGGTACAGTTCTGCAGCTAAGGAGAATCAAGGCTGTTATTCAAATTAAAATAGACAAAAATTAATAAATATTTTATTCATCTTAAAACAGACTATAGCCTAACTGTAATTAATTTCTTTTGTTCTCCTCCTGTACCCCATTCCCACTTAGCCAACACAGATTTACCTGTGTTTTACCTGTATTTTTTCAAAATGTTGGAAGTGGGAAGACACCGCTGTGACAGAGGCGCGGGGGAGACATTGAAAATAATGATTTTTGATTCTCTCTTTTGGGGGGTATCGTCATATGAGTTTCAATATCTCATGAATTATAAGACAAAATCAAAGGAGATTTTGGTAATATTTTCTTTAAAGATGATTTAAAAAGTTAGTTAAGAATACTGAAAAAAATTCATTTCAAAAGTTTATTCTGCTTTAATTTCCCTTTAAGTATGTTATAAGTATTTTAAACTTACATAAAAGACATTTCAGAGGGAAGTGAAAACGTGTACAGAATTTATGATCAGTCAAAATGAAATTATAGAGAGATCAATAACTTAAGGACATCATTTTGTGTTCTTCATTATACATGTACGAGGGTTGTTCGAAAAGTTCGTGGACAACTGTCATATCTTTTGTATTTGACGTCGTATGCTATCCAAATTTGGTAGAAATATTTTTACAATAAATTAAAATGATACGTATATTATGTATATTACATGCTCATCAACCATTCTAAGTAATTGATAAATTGACGGGAAAAGGGTTTACAAATTACTAATTTTTCCCTACATATTTGTCTTTTCATTACTATTTTTGTGTATACATTATATTCCATAGGCATTTACATAAAATATACATCTTTCTAAAAATGAGAATGCTTGTTTTGTTATTTTAACTAAGTAAGACAGAAGTAAACATAAATAATAAATTCACTGCGGTATCTTCAAATCCCTACGTCGACCTAAATGAAATAGAGAATTAAATAAATGTATACATTTGGTCTCATATCATTTTAGATCTTGCAATACATTATTACCGGTCCATTATATTTATGGTAAGCTTTATCTGTGGTATAAAATCGGCAGTACGGACAAGAACTTAGAATCAACACAAAGGAATCAATTATGTGTATCTCCTCAGGGCCAGCTGTTCAGCTTAATGAATCTATGGATACCATCTTTTAATTCTTCAAACTCAGTGTTGCTGGTCAGTTATATCATACGAAAGTTATTTCTGCTGTATAAAATCGGCAATATATAGGGACAGTAGTTTACAGGCACATGTAGTTATTTTCATTGGTCAAGTTAGCTGCAGAATTTTAGCATTATGGCTTTATATATTTTCATGTCTTTAGCCATATACCAAAGGCAAATATAAAAAAAAAACCAATTATGCTACAGTTGTATAGCCATGGTAAAGTAACAAAAGAAGAGAGAGAGAGAGAGAGAGAGAGAGAGAGAGAGAGAGAGAGAGAGAGAGAGAGATGCAATATTTAATGTTCTATGCATTTACAAAAAATATTAGAATCGACTGCTCAAAAACAAGTTTCATTTCGAGAAAAACTGTATCAATAAAGCTGGCAAAGAGAAAAAAACCCACAAGAGTATCTTACTAACTTACTATCTTGCACGTGTAGTTGAATCTACTGAATTACAAATGGCAGCTAGGGTCTTTTTTAATTATTACTCTAGTAAATATAGATCTTCAATATATATCGACTTTCTCTAAAGATCGGATATCCGAAGTTTTATTTCAGGTCACGGTATTATGGTCGTTGCTTCATAATTCAACAATTAATTGAAGTATCCCTGATGGCGAGTAGCAATAAACTATACATCTCACAAAGAGGCGGAAGTTGCAAAAATCTTGGCAAGTGCAAATAACAATGACAGATTGTCTATGGAGCAGGATCTGATCTTGGTAATCGGAATTAATCGAGGACCGTCCCCACGTAAACGACACTACAAGTTTGTATGTATACACCAATCAATGAGCCATAGCAAGTGAAAACAGAAATTTGAAGCAGTAGCTTATGCAAATTACCAGCTGACTAGAGAGGATGTCACAGCAATTATCTGTATGTAGGAAAGGCGATGAAAAACACATCTAATAAAGACAAGTCAATTAAGGCGAATGACAATGGAAGGACAAAATGTATCAACAGTGCTAAGTCCAAAGAATCATTCAGAATCATCTTCTAACTACCCAGAGTTACACAGGGACATTTTCTTTTGGCAGGTGAGTGCTTCTTAATTAATACCTTACACATAAACGTGTAGCTGCCACACTTTATATACCTATACCTCAAAAGGCAGCGAAACACTTACCAGAACTTCTACACCGCCAGCCTTATGGACATAGGGTATTGCATTCACATCATAAAGTTGGTTAAATGTACTTTTCATATCGAAGTTTCATTTTATTATTATGATTTCCTTACTGAATTATTAACATTGTTCCATATATGACCACAAATAGGTGTATGTCAGCTGTAATTATACATGATTTCTTTTATGAGAAATCATCGTGGTAATGTTGTTCCTGAAGTGGTGACAGTTGACGATTCGAGGCAGCATCACTTCCGATCTCTCAAGTCTTTTGGGTAACAAAAATATTGTCACCTTTATTGTTACGATACAATTGTGTGCTGTAGGGGCCTTGACTTTTTTGTGTGAAATGTAGAGGGAAAAAAATACTTGAACCAAAATTATAGAAATTTAAGTATCGAGAAAAGCAGATAACATTGCAGAAACTGACCTTCTTTGAGCTGCAACCACCTTGTATCATATCAGTGGCTCTTCCCTATTCTCTGCGAGCATTCGCTTATTTTTATTTAAAATGTTAAATATGATTTGGTTTAAAAATGGTTCAAACAAACAAAATCAAAAATCAAAGAAAACATGTTTCCTCAACAATACCAGAGACTTTATAGGTCCCTTACACAAGAACGATTTCTCTTTTCACAACATTACAGTTCAGTATAGCTTTTTAGCAATTTCAATATTCTCTGTGTTAAATTATTGCGGATAACTTATAGAAACCTAATGAAAAATTTGGTATACTTCTACCAAATATGACAGAACTATTAAAAAAATTAGAATGGTGGATTAGGAGACTTGATAAGTGTCTATAAGATTACTTCTTCGTAGATCACGTCTTTAATTCATGATGGTTTTAATTTCTTCCTCTTATTACGGTATGATGGATTTTTGCCCTCCACATCTATCTTTTTATTCAATCTAATTATGCATATTATACTTCAATGAAAAAAATTCATCAAGAGAATGAAAAGCCTTCACATTCATCACAGTTTTAAAGTTTTATCCGATGTTTTGATTTATTCTTTAGCTGCAAAATATTAGCATCTAATTCGACAAATTGAATTACTACAAAAGCATTTTAATATCCGTTTCAGTACAAAAGTTCAATCGAGGGAATATAATAGATTCCTACTAATCAAGCGTTTTAGATAGATTGTCTTTTTTCTAAATTTCCCGTCGAAAACTTCATCATTCGTGATAACCAAGTAATCAAAAGGTACATGGAGACTATTAAACAAAATAGAGTTTGATTTTCTATACCTTCAAAAGAAAACCGTCTTTTGCTTGTTTGAAAAAAGAATTTTTCTCCACACATTTCGATGAAAACAGCTATCATTGATTTTCCATGCTCAAAGAATGGGATTGAATATTTGGAAAAAGCGTATAAAATTAAATGGAAAAAAAAATTAAATTCAACAGCTCCTACATGTAGCCAGCCTCAAAGCATAACATTCATATACTTCATGCAGGGAGTTGAATGCAAAAAAAAGTATCTTTGTTATTAGAATTTGATCATTAACTTTCAGTTATTCCAAATAATCAATGCAAACCCTTGGAAGTCTCTCAAAAGGTTCTCGATAAATGCCATTTATGGACACTGATCTTTTGAGCTTATGGATAAACGATAAATTAGTATCAAAGATTGCAAGGAGGAGAAATAAGACATTTAAAATATTATACTTGTAATAAAATTGAACATATTAAAGAGTCACGCGTTCGTTGCCAATTTGCTCTTTTCGGCTATCAATGACCCTGGAAGAAATCGCCATGCTCCACAGATTCCCTTTTGAGTGGAGATGAGAATATCATTGATGACAGGAAGGCATGTTATCAATGAAATGTTAATACTTCGATAATGATATAACTAAGACATAGAATCAGGATACCATTCCGATTCTTACATCCTGTGCTTGCTTACAAATGACACAAAAGCACTCTGCATTATCTAACGATCTCTGTAATTATTGTCATCAAAATAAATTCCTTACTAGACCTGCATACCAGTTGATTGGATTTTGTAAAGAGTTTATGAATTGACTGAATATTGAGCAGGAGAACTAATTCATGTTTAATTTAAACAATAAGCACTCGTTTTGTTTGTTTAACGTTTAATGTTCGCAATTTTGAATCATAATGAGACGCCACTGCTTGCATTGTGCAGTAGGGAACGGCTTGTGAGCAGCGAGGGAATTTTCATTTCAGCACCTACGGCGATGCTTTACCTCAATTTATATGGCATTATTCGAATTATCGTCGTAGAATTTGAACCCACATCAAAAGGATCAACTTCTGAAACTTTTACTCTACAAGCACACGCTCTAATCAATTTCTTAAACGAAACAAGTTATTGACAAACAAGTTGATGAAGCAAGAATATCGGTAAACTCGTTTAAAGTCATTATTTCTTTTTTTTCGAACGTGGCAAGGGTGTGACCGGTCGGCAGGGGATGCCGACACCTGATCCCACCCCAGATGTTTTGGAGGTCCGTGTTTGTTCTGCTCCTATTTTGTAATGTTTAATGGGCTATTATGCTCGAATACTGTGTGTTTATATTTCCTTATATTTTTTATTGTTAATGCGGGGATAACGCGGGAATAACGGTGGCATTTCGTTGTAATTTTTTTGTTTCATCAACTTGTTTGTCAACAACTTACGTATTACGTTGTAATATTTTTGTTTCATCAACTTGTTTAACAACAATTTACTTCATTTTATAGAAATTTTTCTTGCGTAAAGCGTGCTCTCGGGATATTAACGTCGTATGCAAGTGTCACGGGTATGATGAAGCACAAGAAAGGGAAGTTGACGATGTAAATGTCATGTTATCACGTTTATTATAAAGCTTGGTTGTTAGATATAAACCATTAACGTCTTTTTTAGAAAAATATGCAAATATGAAACAGATGTGTCAGACTCAGATGGGGTCTCATACATCTCATCTCTACTATATGCATTGATGATTGAAAACAGGGACACATGCGTGCGTTCAATTGCCTTTATATTGTATGTCATGTACTAGTAATCAAGAGATAAGTATCAGAAGATTTTGTTCAACGTAAACGTAATTTTTTTTTTTATAAAAAGTCTTAACAATTTAATTTTGCTTCCTGTTCCTTCCGCTAATCTAACTGATGCTTATGTGCATGTGTTTATGCATAAAAAATTCAAAATATTTCATTCATTCATCATGACTTCTTTGAACTAAGTTATCTAATTAAAAAGTAAAAGGTATATGTAGCTCCGAAAAACGAATGACAATATCGATATCATGACTCAACTATCAGACTGGTACTATGAATTATGCAAAAGAAATTATTTTTATATGCTAGCAATGAGAATTTCATATTCAGAAACTGTTTAATCGATCTACTTGGCCCGTGGTATATGTTCATACAATATTATCCATTTTATTTACAAATTATAAATTCAAATATACTTGTTTGCTCAGAAGATACCGTAGAATTCAAAATCTTTATTGGAATAAAGAATTCATTTTAAATTGGAGCATATTATAAAGTAGGGGACTCAACTGAGCTTTGTGTCTAATGTTTCATTTGCTGCGTTTGTAACATTTTCTTTTGAAGTAATTTGGGATGAAATTTAATAAAATCTACCAGAATTGACTAAATCCTTGGTATTTGACCTTGAGGATAGAGTGTAGTCAAAACTGCCATCTCCAGGTACAAAGGCACAAAGAATTTTTTTTTTAATTTTTAATTCATGTCTGGAATTCTTGCATTGTGACTTCATGTAGTATTTTTAGAGGTGTAAATGTATGATTTGACTTCCACAAAGCTGACATTTATCTTCTGTGTTCTGAGCAAACAAAATGACAAAGAGAGTTCATGAATCCAGATAAGTATAAGTCAGCTACTGGTAAGGCATACTATGTCTAAAAAGAAATTAAGATCAGATCTTATTTTACATTCTTCAAACCTTTTCAAAAATTAATATACGTAAAGCACTGCCAGCTGGCTAGCGGTGGTATCTGAACTTTTCATGGAATCCACACTTATTAAGGAAAGGAATGCGATTCATTTAATAGAATCTGCTCAAAACAATATAAAGTCCTGGAGCCACTCCTCTTTTTTATTTCGTTTTTAATAAAGTTTTTGTACGAGATCATCAAAATTTGAAAATAATTTACGGAAGTAGTTTTAAAAAATTCAAAAGGTATTATAATGTCCACGTGGAAAAAGGAATGCGTACTCATAAAGTATTGGGGTGGGTGGTTATGAGTTATGTCTTAGGTCATTTTATCGTTATAAAAATTGATCCAGGAGGTAAAACTTTATGTAAAGTATTTAATTTACCAATATTTTTTCAAGATTGCTTCAATATTTCCGTCAATAAAGTTAGCATAAACGTATCATAATAAAAAATGCAAGTTTCTATTTGAAAATTAGGTAAATAGGTAGTTGAGGACCCTCTTTATCATTATGAAAATAAAATCTGGCAGGAAAAACTTTATGTATTAGTATCATTTTCGTACTGTATTTGAAAATTGGGTGAATAGGCGGTCTATGGTCCTCTTAATTAAAAAAAGGAATAAAAAGCGATTCTGTGTGTGGTCTGTGATGTGGTTGAATGAATCAATTTCGTTATAAAAATATAATCCGACAGGTAAAAAAAAATATGAATTAAAGTAGTGGTATAAATAAATAGACAGTGCATAAGTTCACTTTGACATTTGTGTATTTAACTATAAATTCATCATTTTATATGCATTGAATTTTGTTTCGTATTTCAGAACATCGTTTATTAAAAGATAATACAATTTTAGCTAGGTCTTAACAATGAATCGAAGTGGATATTCTCTATCCTGCTGCCTTGTTTAAATTTACAAGAGTCGGTAAACACCTTTAATCAGTCCATACGACTTAATTACGTTGTTGCTGCCTTCGATTTCAGCTTGA